TAAAAGAAGATTTACAAGTATTACCAGTCATTGGACCCTACACTAGACTAATCTGAATAAAAGTAATTCTTCATCCTAAAAGAGTTTGTGGTCACTTGAAAGCAATCTAAGGCATTTCTGCTATTGTAAAAAAACAAACAAACAAACAAAAAAAACACAAACCCCCCAAAACCAAATCATAATGTATAAAATCAGTAAAATGGTTTGAACTGTGATATTTGTAATGCTGTAAGGATGAGTAGGTCCCAAAATAATATGGAACTTTTTAAGTAAATCTATTTAGAATTGCCTTTAATGAAATGTGCTTTCCTCTAAGAGAGCAACCATCAGGCTGTGATTCTGGTTAGCTCTTCCTCCTTTCAGATCCACCTCTGTCTGGTCCATGTGTTTTCCTTATTGTTTATTTTTTCTAGCTATATCCAGCTGTAAGAAAACCTGCTCCTCTTCATGAAACTGAGTTTGTTTAGATAAATACATGACAAAATACATTTCTTGGTGTGTTTATAAGGCCAGAGCTTGAAGAGAAAATGATGGGTCTGTGCAAGATCCAGAAAGATCTGGACACCATTTAACAGTGTCAACTTTAGGGAACAAGACATCTGTCTGTCGTATCACATCTGGGCTCCTTGACCTGTGTATGTCTCGGGTCCAATGCCCAGCTCTTCAGGTCTGTGTGTGTAAAGTGCTACATCACAAATTGCTCTCCTTACACACCGTTTCTCTATCCAAGAGCACCCTGGGTCTCTGTATTCCCCTGTGGTTAGTCCTGTTGTTGAAACAGCATTCCCAGGAGCTGTGGAAATCATTTCTTCCAGTATCTGTCCTATTTTTAGTGCTTAAGTTGGCCTTAACAGAGCATAAGCCTCCAACATATTCTCTTCCCTTCTAATAAACAGTAGAGCTATTTGTCATGGGCAATCCTGGATGCAGAGGTGACAGTGAAAGTAATGGTGTATGCTTTACATTTCATTTATGCAAATTAAAATACATCAGTAATGTAATGTTTTCTCTAGTAGATTTCTTTTTATTGTGCTCCTCTCCTTGACTGTATTTTAACAGTAGTTTTAGTTTGTAGTTCCCTATCTGAAGTATCTGAAAGATATAAATTGTTCTCTATGTGAAAAAATAATGTCCCGCATGTTGAAGTATTCAGAAAGCTGAGGAAAAGTGTTTTTCTAGAAAAATATCTGTTGAGCAAGTTATTTCCCGTGTGGGTCATAGCAAGAAATTCACATTGCTGTGTGTGAAGAAATTTTGCAAGTCATCGCATTGTATATAACAGCATTAAACAACTCCAGTAGGCTCAGCCAGCTAAATATTCAACTAGAGGGCGAGATGAAAGCCCACTCAGATTCTGGAAACCCTGCGGAAATGGCCACAGCATATGAGCGGATGAGGTCTTCTCCACATGCACACTGAGCCCAGCATGTTTTGAATGTGTTTCTCCAAATCTTTACTAAATCTTATAAGCAAATGCTGGTTTCCCTGTATCTTCACCCACTGTTTTCAATGAGACACAATATTGGTTCACTTTGTAGATTTTCTGTAGTTTAATGTAAAGCAATTTTGATACTTGATGACATTTTCCTAATCTTTTAGTCATAACCAGAAATCATTAGTTGAGTTTCTGAAATACTTTTATCTTGCCCCATATTCTGGGTTAGGTTCTGTAATAAAAGGGCAAGGTTAAAGGCTTTCCTTTGATCCATCTACATCAATTATTAGTGATGAGTTGTAATGTTTCTGTTGAGTGTAAAAGCTTCCATGAAGCTTGTAAGACTTGTTTTGGTTTAGGTTTGTACTTCAGAATGAACGGAATGATGTGGAACATGCACAGCAGCTAATTCTCAAAGACAGGTAATAAGTACTAGATCTTTCAGAGTTTATTTCATAAAGTTGTCTTACTGTCCCATCAAAAACTTGGAGGCACAGGTAGAATCTGTAATGTCTTGACCGTGTTTATCGAGTTTTATTTCCATGCCTATAGCTTAATTTTGTTCCAGTAGCTCTGGAACTTTTTTTAGATAGTACTAAGACAATGACAAAATGATATGCCTGAGGCTAAGTCATAATTGAAACATGTTGCAGTAGTATTTTGGGAAGCTCTTAATGGATCATCTGTGAAGTGTTTTGCTTTGGATTATTATTGTTTCCTTTTTTTTTTTTCTTCCCAGTACATGTTTGCCAGTGTTGAAATTCCTACTGTATTTTCACTAGGTCCATAGGCCAAAAAGCCATAAGCAGAATTCACATGCTAAATGTGAAAAACTTTTTTTGGCGTGCTCATGAACAAATGGTCAGTGGCCTAGCTGAAGGGAAGTACGGACCTTTGGTAAGGTTGTGGTCATTTAATAAGGTAAGGTCATTAGGCCATTCCACTTGGCTCAGCCTGGTCGTTCTCCAGCATTTTGGAGACACCGTGTTCCTCCCTTTTCCGACACAGGGTTTGCAGCAGCATTCTCTGCCTGCACTTAGCAGTGTCTGGGCGAATGCACCGGGGTGGCTCAGCCAGGCCTGCCCGCTCCCGGTCACCGCGGGGTACAGGCCAGTCAGCTCCTGGGGCAAGGGACGCGGAACCCCCCTGACCAAACGGGAGGCTCCCCGTGTTCTTAAAAATCTACCATGTGAAAAACAGAAATTACCAAATTGAGAGTGACACCTAATCTAAAAAAGATTCAAAAATGGAAGGGGAGCATGTCTCTGTTGCTCACTGAATGTAAGCATTTTCTTGCAAGGGTGCAGAGAGGCCTTGGCTTGGTTCTCTAATATTATTTTAAGATGCCACCTTCAAATCCTGACAATTTCATCTCGCATGTGTTCGATCTGAGCGAGCGCAGTGCTTTCAGCTGAGCAGCAGGCACAGGAGCCTGCTGATGGATCTGCCACTCTTTTCTTTCGGAAAAAGTGCTTTTCACCCCCCGAGCCTGGGATTGCAGCACTGCAGAGAGCACTCCCTGCCTGCGCGGCAGGTTGGTACCCAAACAAACTGCCATGGAACAAAATTTGATTAGTTGTTTCAAATTATACATTTTTCAATCAGGCTGCCAACAACCCACTCAGTGGGCTTAAAGTATAAGAAATAAAACTAGTGTTTTCCATTCAGTGCCTGATTTGGATCTCCGTTACTTGGTGAAAAGGCAGATATTGAAATTACTTTTTGTATCAGAAGAGTAGGACCTTTTATCTGAGATCCCATATGCAATAACATTACAAAGACATGGCCAGCAAAGCTGCTCCTTTAAACCATGTCTTCATCTTGAAAAAATAAAGGATATTAGGTTTTTTATTTTTTTACTTGTTTTGCTTATGGCTTAGTCTTGTATTGTGGCCTTGAAAGGAGCTTTGTCCTGCCATAGAGCTCCATTACAGGGACTGGATTTGTCCCAACAACGGGATCTGCTGAGGGGCCATCCCTTGCAAAATCAGGGACTTAGGCTGATGCCCAGGACTGGCTCTTCCTAAGTGTTTGCACAGCATGATACTGATTAGCATCTCCAAGTGCTGCTTTTGTCCAAGCAAATAATAGTAGTGGTGAAAGAAGTTCCATATTTTAAACTGTATTGGAGATTTTTTTTTTTTTTTTTAAAAAAAAAAAAAGAGATCAAAACTTTCAAAATTCATATCCCTGTGGCAGGGTATAAGACTTTCTGCATTTATAAAGTAGCAGGAACAGTCATCCAATCTGCATACGCTTTTCAAATGACACGTGGTTATTTTAAGCAGAGGATTACTTGACATTACTTCCTGCAGTAGTAGAGGGCTGGAGTCTATGAATCAAGTCATCCGTTTCAATTTTATGGTTTTAAACTTGTCTGGAGAGGGAAACATTTGTATCTTCCAGTTTCCAGTGAGTCTGCCAAAGGTATACGCCAGGCCAGGCTTTTAAGGTAATTTATTGTGTGACTTTGAATAAACTTTAATCTCTATAATTTTCTTTACCTGTAAAACAATAATAATAATATGCAAATACTGTCCTTTTGATGTGCAGTGAGAAGAATATTTATCCTTAAGTGTCAAGCATGTGTCAATGGCACAAAGTAAATTAACCATATTAGAGGTTATTTACCTGACCAACACACTAGATAGTTGAGGGGAAAGCACTTATATGCCAAAGTATTATTAAACCTTCTTGGCTTTGCTTCTGCTGGTATATGGGATTATTTTGAGAAAAAGAGTGATATTATGTTATAGCCTGCGCTATCTTTTGGTGAGTCTTATTTTTTTCTCTTTTATTAACTGGGAGATTTGAAATGAACTTACTTGAGCAATTATGTGGTGTTTCATATGAAATATTGAGACTGTTGCAACATTCTGCAAAACAGACTGTCTTGCCAAGGCAGAGCCTTTGTATGTAATATTTCCCTTCCTCCCTTTTCCATATCAACACTTGATTGAAAATCAAAGTTGATTGTATTGCTAGTTTGAAAGTGGCCATGTTCATCTGCATTAATTTTCATGTGTTGTGGGTTTTTTTTTAATGTAGGTTATTTTTCTTAATGCATGTCAAAGATTTCCTAACTTTTGTTATGCGGTGACTTTATGAATTACATTTTAAAAGAGAATGTGTTGAAGAGACTGTTTATGTCCTAAAATACTCTAATAGATTATAGCATGATATTTTTGAAAAGCAGTTTTTGTATTTCAAAACAAAAATGCCAGATAAGCCTGCTTTTGGCATGAAAATAGGTGATTTTTTTTCTTTGGCTATGGTTTTTGCTTTGGTTTTGCTCTTCTAACCAGATAAGTATATCTGCTTTTATCTGGTTATACATGAACGCAGGTTCCACTTTAATTTACTCAGTAATGTCAAAAGTATTGTTGGAATGAGTCTTCAAAGTTATGTCTGTGCAAATTTTGTTATGCAGCCTTTCTCCTGGGAATGCCACCTCAGATATGGTCATCTCCGATTCTGACCTTCACCCAGTGATCCATTCTGCCAAGAAAACGGGCTACTCTTACTTTCCTATTTTTGTGTGTGTATGTGTGTATATGTTCTTCAGAAAGCCAAACTTGGGCCAGCTGGTAACAAAGTCATTACTTCAACAGAAGACAAGAACTCAAGTGTGCCATCCAACAATCTGGACAGGGTGAAGCTGACAGATTTCAACTTTCTCATGGTTCTTGGAAAGGGGAGCTTTGGGAAGGTATGAATTCCTGATAACTACTCCACTTGTGTTCTTTTTTCTTTTTTTTTTTTCCTTGAGGAAGTATGAATTAATAGTTTTCTAAGAAGCAAAATTCAGAGGATGTACGTTTTTGAGGGAGGATTTCTTAGGATGGAATAGGGTGATTCCCTAAGGACTAACAGGCTTCAGTCATGATTGGCAGTTTTCTTGAAAAAATAAAAATAAGAAAACACCTCAGACTGTTGAGCAGGACATAAAAAACAGTTGCTGACTTTTAGATCCTCACTTCTTGGCAGTTTCAAGGAAATTAAGTCTATTTTTCTGGCTTTACTACCTAGGTCACTCTGCCAGTTCTGGAAGTCACCAACGTTGGTAAGGCTGAATATTGGGGAAAAACCAGCAATAGTATATATATTTGAAATCTGTTAGTCAAAAGAAAGGACTGCTATTATTCTGTCTGTTTGAACAACCACTTAAGTGATAAAGTGCCCTTTGCTGAAGAAGTCCCCTGGGACTTAACATTTTCTCAGCGCTTTGGCAATGTGCCTGCGATTAACCAGAGGGTTTTGGCACAGGCTTTGTCTGAAATGACTGGTACAGCTCATTGCAGTGGGTGAGCAATGATGATAATTTTGGAGTTTTGATCAAGTTACTCTATAGCAATAAAAGGAAAAGCTGGATTGCCATCTATACAAATCTTCGGGCATATGAGTCACAATCCCTCCTTGGCAGGTGGGAAGCTTTTCACCCTGTTGTTTCTCTTGTGCAGGTGATGTTGGCAGACAGGAAGGGGACAGAGGAACTCTATGCAGTCAAAATACTGAAAAAAGATGTGGTGATTCAGGATGATGATGTTGAATGTACAATGGTTGAAAAACGAGTCCTGGCATTGCAAGATAAACCACCATTCCTGACACAGCTTCATTCTTGTTTCCAAACAGTTGTACGTGAGCTCTGTCTTTCTTGCCACCCTGATGGTTTCCATACTATATGATCATGGATTTTATCAGTTCAATAACATTTATTATCATCCAACCTATATATCACAGCTTCTGTGCATAGAAGATGGTGAAGAAAGAGATACCACATGTAATTACCTCTTGTGTTTTAAATATAAAACACAGGTTGAAAGATTTTTCTTCATACAGTAATTCAAGGAGACCTGTGTAACAATTCATAGATTTCATAATGTGTGCTTTTCTAAATCAAAGCCTTAAGCCGCAATTCCCAAAGGTTCCTAAATGTTTTTAAGGATCTGAGGACAGTACGTGGAAACTCTTAATGGCTGTTACTATGTTGTGAGGTGATTAGTCATGAATCAGTTTTGATGAATTTAGTTTCTGGCACCCTTGGCACAGAGGAAAGCACTGGGTTATTTTTTTCTTCCTTCCTTATAAATATGTGGACATTTCCCCATCACCATCACACTGCAAAACATTTCCCAGAAACAGATGCAGGATGGATCTGACCATCCAGTGACACCATACCACTCTGTTGGATGATGTGGAAAGCCACATGGTAGAGAGCTGACACTCAATGTGCTTTTGGTTTTCAGAGTGGGCATGAACACACCCTGACACTGGTGACCTGGTTCCAAATGTTCCAAGCTGAGTAGAGGTCTTTTTTTCACAAGAAATCAAAGCTCTTCTTGTCTCACTTTGTAGCCATCTTATGACAACGGCCTTGAACTAGTGCCCGAGGGCTGGGTTGTCAATGGGGTGATGAAAGAACATATGTTGTTTTTTCAGTTGACTATTCCATATCTTTTACCTCTTACATTGTTGATGGGTTTTAATCTAAAAACAAACAAACCAACCACAGGCAGTAATAGCACTGTCATATAACACAAACAAGCCACATCATCCTGTCGCCATTTCATAGCATAATTGTCTGTGTTGTTAAAGGAATTTTCAAACCCTGTTTAATGTCTACAAATCTCTGAGCAGAAAATGGCCAGAATGGAACAGATTTGCAGACATAATTAATCACAATAAAACATAAATCTGTGAACTATTGCACTTGGTAATTCTTGCTTTCTAAAATATTCTTTCTGCCTCTACTTATAATATAAAGATTGTTGTAATAAGATAAGAGAGGTCCTAGTGAGAAACAGACTTCTATCTCCCTTTAATTTTTTAGATAACTTCATTAGTAGACAGAAATCTTAGTGTCGTCAGTAAATGAAAAAACTCTTTGTTTACTCTTATGTTTCTTTTCAGCAACTCTGTTTTAAATGTCAAATCTTAAAAGTACAAATGTCTGGTGTTTTCTGGTTAAGGAGAATGTAGGAAAGAAGTTAGGGGTTTTAGTATTTACGGTACATTTTTTTGTTTTATCATGTACAAGACCAATGGAGCTACATAAAGGCCTAGATAAATCATTAAGACCTTTGCCTAATTTACTTCATGTTTTCCTAAGTGTTTAGTAGCTTGCAATTGGTGCTGTGAAATATTATGGAGGATTAGTATTAGCTACAAAAATGAGAAATTGTATATGAAAGAGGAGAAAAGGCATAAACAGTGTGACTGTAGGAAAAATTTATAATTTTTGGTTAGAGCTTTTAGATGCAGGCTTCTGTTGCCATGGATTTTACAATAAGACAATTCATACAAAAATCTAACTTTTATAAATCCAATCTGTCCACCTAAACATTTTGCTCATGGCTTCTGTGTTGGACCCAGCTTAGGAAATTGCAGTTTTAAAATGTACATTAATGTTCTGACATCTTAGTTACTGGATGATTGGAGACTTTCAATCAGTGCTGAAGGAAAGAGATTGAACTACAGCATTTTAGTAAATGCATCTCTCCCATCAGACTATTAGATCAGAACTTTTCTACAAATACTTCAGGATAGTGATTCTGTCCAAAATATCTGAAGGAAAATCAGAGAAAGCCAAAAATATGTCTTCCATAATTGAGAGGAAGACTATTAATGCATTTTATATGATGTCTGGATCATGTTATCTTACTGAAGATATTAAGCTTGACATAACGTTGTCCAACAGAATTTTTAATGTTAGATCATCAAAATCATCCACATGGAATCAAAGATTCTTGTAGACTGTATACAATGTATTCTTGCTGAAATCACTTGAACAACCTCAGTTTTAGTCCTATGAAAACTGGGAGACAGACCTACTGATTTATCACTTACTCTCTGAGGGTCACTGGGTGGGAAAATGCTACTTAAGTGCACTCAGATATGTTATGGTCATGTTTGATTTGAGATATCTGGATATGGCCTGTAAAAATTTCTCATTCTGCAAGAAAAATCTCCCTCCAAAATACCTTATTGCCATCTTTCTCTCACTGAAATATGTGCCTACAAGAAGTTAATTTAGTGTCACTTGTAATGGTTCCACATACTTTTGTAAACCCTACAATTAGTTTTCTTCTTGCCTCTTTTTAATAGTCAAAAAAATACATTTTTTAACATCTCCCATCTTCCAAAGAAAAACTAAATAGGAAAGATGATAAATGGTCTCAAAGCAAGAATTTTCCACCATCTTTAATTTTTTTTTTTTTTTTTTACATTTATTTTTAGAAAGCCAAATTTGTCAGACCGAACTATATGTGAATAATTATGGGAACAATTGTAGACAAATAATATATAAAAGTGTGTCACTAAAATTGCCAAATATAGACAGATCTCATAAGTCATCTACTCTTGCAGGTTTTACAAAACATTCTGCTTCCATTTCCTGATCTATCAATTTTGTCAGAATATACAACCAGTCCTAATAATCTTAAAAGCTTTATAATAACATATTAATGATTTTTTGCTGATCAATGCATATCTATTTTTTTCCCTAATGTATTTATGTGCACCTTTAATACTTTATCCTAGGACCGTCTGTATTTTGTTATGGAGTATGTGAATGGTGGTGACCTCATGTATCACATTCAGCAAGTAGGAAAATTTAAGGAGCCACAAGCAGTGTGAGTGTTCATGTTTATATATTTAAATTATGTCATCGTCTTAATTTTACACTGTAAGAGGATTAGGTTTCTTCTTCCCAGATTCAGTATGAAGTCTACGCTGGCCTTTTCTGATTGTGTTTTTTAAGGCCCAAAAGCTGAAGTTTAACATAAAAATGTTGTTTGCACACATAGAGCAAAGGCCTTTTTATTCAAAAATACAGCAGGAACAAAGACATGCAATGCCTACTTTAAAAGTTACAATAATTTAAACAAGGCAACAGGAAATTAAAGATGTTACTTAGTATTCTGGTGTTGTTTTAAAAGCAAATATAAAAAAAAAGGTGAGTTGATTTCAGTCTGAATTAATGTTATATGGAAAGGCAATTTAAATAGACTCAGCATTACAACATAAATTATGGTTTATACAAGATAAATTCAATGTATAGCTTACAAAATTTATGTGATCCTACTTTTTTAATAAAAGTTTTATTTGTGAGGAGTTAATAAACTATTAGAAGTTGTTTATATACATGATCCGTTTTAGGTAATTGTACATCTTGCATATCAGTGAGCAACTGATAATGATCTGTAGCATATCCAAATGTGAATAGATCCATCAGTCCCATTTTAGTCATGCTTATAATATCTCATCATCATTTATTAGTGTTTCATAAATCATTTACCAATGAAACTTTAAAATCAAGTGTGACAAACTGTTTTAAGAATTCAGCTAAAATAATTTCTCATTTCAATTTAAATAATCAGGGCTTGTTTAAATGAGAGGCCTTCTAAATATAAGTATTTGAGATATGGAACAAAATTTCAGCAACTCGCTGAATAAAAACTAGATGGTGTCAGATCATCCTTGACTCCCAGCTAATGTAACTTGCCAACACCCGTTGCAAACTAGGGTGCTTTATGACAGCTTACGCCTGTGGAGCATCTTCCAGCACTTGTGTTCACAAACACCTCTGATCAAGTGTTTTGGAGCTGAGCTTTCATTTCCCTTATGCTAGCCTAAAAATTAATCTAATCTTTAAAAAATCCTCTTGCATATAATTTGCACAGTTCCACAGCAACTTGCTTCAAACATCCATCGATATTATATATCCTTTAACTACATTCGGCAATTACATTTTAGATGGTAATCATTTTAATTAGCTTTATGTAATTAATCCATTAACAGTATAAAGGAATACTATTTCTGCAAATTATTTCATGCCATATGAATTGCAATGTAAATTGGGCTGCCTCCTGAATTCAGCATTGATCATGACCTTTGCAGACTGTCAGATCAGTGCAGTAAAATGCTGTGCTCTGTGCTCCAGCTGCACCATTTTTTGTGGTCTAGGGAGACATTTTCTTTTTTTATTTTTTTTTTAATTCTGTATTATTTTATCATCAAGTAGTCGAAACATATCTGTTAAAATCAAATTGAAGGTGTCTTTTATGTCATCTGCCTGTAATATATATTTTTATACTCTAATATACACAGTATATATTCTATACTTTATATGCTATTACACTATCATTCTTTACCATAATGCATTTCCAAAATACTTTGTCAGAAGGAAATCATGAGGCAGTAAGAACTTTGTTGTTTTTTTTCATACAGGTTCTATGCAGCTGAGATCTCAGTTGGGTTATTCTTTCTCCATAACAGAGGGATTATTTATAGGTGAGTATAATCTGACATGAGTAATTTCTGAACTATTTTTAAGATGCCAAAATGATCAGTTTCTTTAATGTTCCAGTGCACTTCTAAAACATTTTATAAAAAGCTATCACTGTAGTGTTCTTTTTGTTGTGTTGGTGCTGGTGCTCTGGAAACCAAAGCCACTGCTTTACCTGAGCTTTTCTGACACCTGTGCTCTGCCCAACTCAACTGAAAACTCTTGAAAATGCAAAATGTTATCTTGTGCATTCCTGCGAGATGTTTAACAGTTCTGCACATTCAGAAGTGTGAGTGTGCTCATGGTCATACACAGCTATCTCTTCATTAATTGTCCAGTTTTAGGGCTTATGGTCGTTCTTACGTAGCTGCAATGAGGTGCCCAGCTCCACTCAGACTGTAGACTGCCATGCACGTGCAGCCCTGTCCCCTCTGCCCCCCAGATAGCTGCACATAGTCCTCACCTAGACTCAGAAGTAGATAAGTTGGCCCTAGTTGATCCTAAACATTAACATTAAATTACTGTGATTCTTCATAGAGATCTGAAATTAGATAATGTGATGTTGGATTCTGAAGGACACATTAAAATTGCTGATTTTGGAATGTGCAAAGAACATATGTTAGATGGAGTAACAACCAGGACCTTCTGTGGCACTCCAGACTACATTGCACCAGAGGTAAATATTTACCATTTCAAGAACCTTTTAGTCTCTGAAATGAAAATTGTCACTACACAAATTCACACCACCAAGTTTTGATAGCTGTAACTCTGGATACTCTGTGGATGGTACCATTTATAATACCGCAGGTATATTGAATAACTTTGTGTATTAATACAATATTATCAATACGACTTCACTATTCTAAAAAACTATCTAGTTGATTAAAAACCTAACTTTTTATGAGATCAGTGCTTCAGATTTTGTTCATACTAGCAAAAGACTAAAAAATCTGTATCACCACCTTGTGGTTTTAAATTTGTAGCCTTGAAATGTTGTTATACTAAGCTTTGTGCTTCAAATTGTGAAGTCAAACAGTTCATGGTCATTGTGGAGGTTGTTGATGAGGTCAGCAAACATTTTATTGGGAGCAAACATAGCTTCTGTAATATATTTCTCCATAAGTTCACACAGCTGACAAAATACATATATTTAAAGGTTGTTCGGCATTTTCAGGAAATCACAAACCACTCACTGATTCTTGGGAAGGAACACATGAGGGCTTGAAGCTTTTCGCTGACCTCCCTGCAAAACTACTTCAGTCTTTTCCAGGCCATGTCCTGCAGATGGTACACAGGTGTCATGAGTTACAGCCCTTGATCTCAGGAAGGCTCCAGTCATTGAAAGCCTGAACAAAGCTATAAGGTCAGGGTTTGAAGGGTGTTAATATAATAAATCCAAAAACTTTGCCTTGAGTTTTCTGTGACTTGATGATACCTGTGCTGCATTCAAGCCACTGAAAATCACATTCAAATATGAACCTAACTGCAGTGGGTCTAAAATGAAAATTTGATCATGAGAAGCACAGTTCTACTTTAAAGCACTGTGATAGAAACGAGCTTAGAGTTAAGATTTTTTATTCTGGACATGATTTGTATTTCAATAGTTTAGGTATAAAACATTGAAAACAAGCACATGTGGTGATTTGGAAATGATTCAAATATATGAATATTAAAATCTGGTATTTGCACATACTGAGCTTTCAAGAGTCTTGATTTGTTTGGCTGCAAATTCAATGCAAGAGGCTATATCCTGATCCAAGATACTCAGTTTTTCACTGAGTGCTGGGCAAGAGGCAGCTCTGGCTGGAACATTTCTGGCTGTAATTGAATGTTTGTTGGAATATGAGAGATTTATACATGGACAAGTAAATTAGTGTCTAAGGTGAGTTTTGTCATCTCTGTGAAACTGGAAAGAAAAATAGTTTGTTTTTTTCCAGTTGCTAATTCATGCTTTTCAGAGTGAAATATTGTGTATTATAAACGCTTGTTTTTTCACAAATTGCTGTTGCTTGCTGCAGGATATCAGAACAACTAGAGCAGTATTTCATTTTCTCCTGTCAAAACATAAATGAAGCCAATATTACAAATTTGTGTCCTTTCTGTGGCAATAGTCTTGTGCCAGTTAATACCAAAAAATGTGTTGTCAGTGCCAAAATGCTCAATATGGGTCAGTGTTGGAATGATATATTTTACTTGATTTGGAAATTTCATTTAAAGAAATAAAACTTTTACCAAAACACTGAGTAACTGGGAGGAAATTAATCTTTCTATTATCTTACAAACAGATATTATTTCCTTTTTTTAGTTGGCTGATTTTCTTTCTTTTCTGAAGACATCATTGTGACTGACAAATTGCTAACTAGGTCTGTAGTAAGCTTCAAAGTAAGGTTCATGTTTTGCTTGCAGGAGCATTTCAGCATGTTTCCATGGGGTAAAAGATATAAGTTTATAATAGATTATAATGAGGATGCATTTGCATGGTACCATTCCCTGCTGAGTTAAGATAAATGAGCGAAATCTAAATAAACTGTTGAAGGTGTCTAGAGTGGAGTAGTCCTGTGAGTGTGTTGCATTCAAACATAAAGAATTATCTCTTTTCATCAGTACTTGGAAAATAATGTTGTGACTATAGTGGGGTCTGAAGGAGCCCATGCTGTCTCTTCAGGAACTACCCACAGACATAGTTCAGAGATAACACGGCGGGAAGGACCATACAGGGACATCTCAGCTGGCTTCATACATACAGTCTCCGGACAGAAAAGCAGGGGAATATGGTGCTGCATTCAGTAAAGTGGACTTGCACACTTTGGTGTAATGTAAAGTAATCTTTCCTCTTTTAATGATTGGAAAAGTTAGCATTTGTTATTACTTGGGTGTATAACGCGCTGAAATTAATATTCATTTTCTTATCCTGTGCAATTTGAGAAATGTGCAGACGTTAAACTGGTAGAATCCCAGGTTTGACCACTTCTGCCAGGCAGAAAGTGGTTGTCTAGTGTAGAATATTTATTGATGTGCTGGACTTAAATATTTATGGTCAGAGTGGTGAAATAGCTGTGAAATCAATTAATACTTTGTATTTCCTTGACCAGTCAAGAGAGACAGGAGGAGATGGATGTCAAGAGGATTAACAGGAAGGGATTCTGCCAAAACAGCCTGCTGCCTGTTGTGCGGTGCTGAACCGCACCATCAGCATCCCTGCAGCAGCTAGAGCACTGATTCTGAATTTCAGAAGAATTTAAATTAGAAACTCCATTTCCCTTCACCTCCATCTAATAGCCTCAAAACCTTAAATTCTAATCTTTCATTTGCCAGGATTATGGGAGGCTAATAGGTATTACAGAGGTTTGGAAAGTGTACAATTGACTGTTTCTTGTGCTAGTAATATTTATTTCTTTTAATAACTGAGTTTTAACTTGTCCAGTAGGCATAAGATATGTTCACAAAAGACCTTCTCACTTGCCTCTGGGATATAAACTTTTCATCCCAACTGGCTACCCACTGCAAGCTGAAATGATCTAAACATTGCTACAAATTGCTGGTATTAATCTCTGTGTCCTGCTCTTAACTGCACCTTCCTTGGAGGCAAAAAGGAAAGAAATAAGAAAAGCAACCAACATTCCTCTGCCAGTTTGGCTTGAGAGAAATTCCTCCTGAGCTCTTCCTGAGCTCTCAAATCCATGGAACCTGAAAAGGCAGAGCTCTTAAAATACAGTAATAGACAGGTAAAATGGGATGCATTTGAAATGCAAAAGAAGATGAAAAAGGCAACCATTTAAAATAATGATGAAGAAAGAGGGGAAGAGAAGAGTCTCATCAGCATTCCACCCCTCCCTGGCCAGCAGAAAGCAGAGGTCGTAGCTGGAGGAGGGTACAGGTCTTCATTTCTAGGCACATGAACTCCCTCACCGCTCTGCAGGTCTGCTCTGCACACTGCGGTGGAACAGGAGGTCTTGTTAATATACCCCTATATGGTCTAAAAGATCACAAATTTTGTATGTGAAGATAGGATATTTTGGCAGCTGCTGCAAGGCAGCCAGTGGCTTTGAGTGCAGCAGCTGGTAGGTAATACATGATGATTTCTGGATGAGGAGGAGGCAACTACTGAAAATACGACATTTAGAACTTGCTGACTTTGTACTAATGCATGTTTGACTGTATATTGAAAACTCATCTGCTTCCTCCCACATGTAATTCCTTCCTTGAAGGGAGCGTTCTTTCCTCTCGTTTACATTTTCCAATTAGTGCTTTGAATAGCTCCCAATATTATGAATATAAACGCTGGTTTCCGTGCATGACACACGGATTGATAAATGAATATGGCAGATTGTTTTTCTGTGTTTCACTTGTACCGTACCCTGACCAGGATTAAGCTGGTGATTCAAATCAGGTGTATTTAATTAGGATTACAGGGAAAAAAAGCTTCCTGTGTACAGCAGCAGACACTGACAGTACCACCTTTTCCTACATTGCTATAGGTTCAATGAAAAAACTGTTTTCATTGCATTTGCTGTGGCACTTCTCTGCCGTGGGACCTTTCCAGTCCCAGTGGAACCTGATGTCCATATTTATTTCTCAAAGCCCACTCTTTCATCATGCGACTGCTCTGGACAGAGGGGGCACTGGTCTGTTCGTCAGATGCTCCTGCTGATGTTGACACGTGGCAACAAATAAGACAAACTTATTAGTGACTCTGACCATATGTTAGGTTAAGTGTAGGAGCTTTTTAATGTTAATTGTGTCTCTCTTGATGATTCTGCTTGATACTCTCTCACAAAGGCAGATTTAATTAGGGCATATTACATTTGCTGATGAGAATGCTATTTAGAGAACAACCCAATCTTGACTCACCTCTTGCTGGATAAACAAACAGCATCATTGAGTCTATGCTTTGTTATATCTTTCATTTTATAACATTGCATTGCCATATTTAAAAGATTTCCTCTCCTTAATAATCCCATGAAGATCTTTCACAGTAGGAAGAGAAGTAGACTGGGGCCTCCTAGACAGACCTAGCTGCCAGGTTGAGAACCATGGCGGTGTAACAGCATTTTCTTTCTCAGTGCTATGGATCCATCTTTTTCACATTTGCTAATTGAAATCAACTCTTTCTACCAAAACCATTTACATGAAGCACACTAAATGTATGAAATGTTCTGTCCTTTTATAAATGAATGACCTTCTGAAAAATATCCTTTTTTATGTTTTTCTGATACAATACTGTTTTCCGTAAGATAAGGAGAGATTGTCAGAGAAGGTTTGAGGATGTAATGTTTTATCGTTTTCTGTGTGTAAAGGCAAGTATTCTTTCTGGATAAAATTTTGAAAGTGTTTGCTCTTTCAAAAAGCAATATTGATTCCAGCAGACCTCTGGGAACTTACTGATGATAGAAATTAAAGGTAGTGTAACCAACTATGTCAACCACTATAATATGAAATGAATGTCCCAAATATAAATTCTAAAGCCTATCTTACTGCTAAAAGACAACTAATAAAGATTGCCTTTATGTAGGACCTTCCAGCTGAGAATCTTGGTATTACCTCTAGTTGTGTAATATATTTCAAAGTGCAATTGATTTTGAAATCCTTTGCAGTAATTTTTAATTCATGTGCTGCTGTTATCCCGGCAAAACATACTCACATAGAGACTATAATTTTACTTTGTAGCCAGGCAGTCCTGCTTTATTGAACTGGTGACTCACTCTTGTCCTCATAAACTACAAAACTTACCAGTTCAACTTCTCTTTCAGAAAACTAGGAAAATCTAGGATATGTGATGTGTACTTGTCTTAGCAATTTGTTTCACAAAGAATAAAATGCATGCAAACAGGAAAATAAATGCAAGCCCATCTGGAGTAATGACTGCCTCGGCGCTCTGCGTATTCTAGTGGAGCGGTGGCATTGGGGTTGGAGGCCCTGATACTGCCTTCCCTAATGTCATGGACAGTGACTGGGACATCCTGCATCCCTTTATGATTCACAGTATCCCTTCACAGTTACTTAGAAGGTGATCCACCTCAAAACTCCTCTATAACGTGCCCAAATGCATCTCTTAAATAAATTAACCCTGATCTCTGAAGAGGCATCGATTAAAGAAAATGACTCACAAGGGGACCGGTGTGCTGTTGGCACATGCAACCTTTTGTTGTGTCAGACCTCAGTTTGTGCTTCTGTGTGAGTTGGATGTGAACCCAGAGAATGAAAATACTTGACATTTGCATTAGGCTGAGCAGCAGAAACCCCTTTATTTTTGGTGTAGCTGGTATCTAGTTTCATACTAAGAGTGTCTTAATCATGCAACTTGGGAAAATGTAACTGAACTTTTCAGAGGTTTGCTCATTTCTTAAATTTTGATTCCTTTTACAGGAGAACAAAAATATAAATAGTGAAGAGAAAGGTTTAATTATTGATAGCTTTTAAGTTAAGTGAGTCTCATGATTTCAAGCTTTGACACAAATGGATGAATGACATTTTTGCCTTGTCTCCTACATTGTGCTACTGTACTTCCTCCTTTGCCTTCAAATGCACATCCCAAAGTCTCCTAAGAGCCACATTTCCCAAGATATTGGAGTACCAAAAGACACAAGCAGGTTTAGACTAACATTAGCAAAACAGTCCAACTCCCGCTGAAACCAATGAGTAAGTAGAGTGAGGATTACAGGATTGGCTTTCTGGGCTTTTTCAAGGAAATATGTTCATCTCTGCATGTCACTATTTATCCAATATGTCACAAGACTGGGTGTTAGTTAACATAGGTGTTTTTTCTTTGCTTTTTTTTTTTTCATGATTATACAGATTATCGCTTATCAGCCCTATGGAAAGTCTGTGGATTGGTGGGCGTATGGAGTGCTGCTCTATGAGATGTTAGCTGGCCAGGTAAGAGGTACCCTCCCGTGCTCACTGTGACCTCCTGCCTCTCCAATGCTGCTCTGTTTCAAGGCTCCCTGAAAGTTTAGACCATTAGAGGACAAGTCTGGAGCCTTTCATACTGGTATTATCTCCTTATACTCTTGACTGACTCAACTGAGAATGTGTTTAGGCTTCAAGTTCTTTATATTGCACCCACATAATCAAGCACTGCCTTTGAATATGGCTTCTTTGTACTGTAATAATGTTATAAATAACCATCTTCAAAATTGAATGGGAGACACTTGAGCAGGAAAATGCATGTCAAATGGAAGAAATACCCTTTAGTAGTTTGAAACCACAGGGAAATGTAATAAGAGTGTGTATATATGTTCTGCACTGCAGTTAAGTCACAAGAATATCAGTTTTTGTATTGTATGTCCTAGGGGTAAAGTATGGGTCTCGTCACTTGAAATATGCTAAATTACAGACCCCTTATTCTGCACAGTTAATGAGACACTGCTTTCTGAGTCACTCAAGTAGAAAAGCAACACTGTACTGCAGTAAATGGCAGATAACTACCAACTTTAAGGAATTCTGTTAGGCTTGAGCTGGAAATGATTTCTGCAATTGGCTTTCAATGAGTGTTAGCTAAAGGTATGCATTTCCTAAGCTTAAGACATACATTTTTAACAAATGGCTTTAATAGTTTCTCTTCTAAATTCCAGTTGACATTTCAAAAGTTTTTAAAGTGTAGCAATTGCGGTTGCTAACATTTACAGTCTGCATTGCAAATATTAGGCATCTGAATGCTTTTGAGAAAAGGAGATTTACCATTAGCTGGGTCTTGCACAGTGCCCATATCCTGGGCACTCACAGGCACTTTCTTCGTCACCTATATTTAAAAATAAAATGCAGCCCTTTCTTGTGATAGCCTCTCCTTTACAGAAGCAGAGTCTAGAGCCATGTCTTATAAAATAAAGTGTAGTTTAACTGGCATTAAGTGAGGAATGGATATACCTTAGAACAAGGTGATTGAAAGTTACACTCTCCAAACTTCACCCTTTAAAGCATTTTGGCTGTCTGGTGCACGGTAGCTTTAAAAACGGATTGAAGATGATCATGAAGATAATCCTGCACACATTTCATTAACCTGACTGCCATGCTGGGGACAGAAGCGAATTTGTCTCCTTGATTTCTACCTGAGAGACTGATAAACACTAAACTTCTGGGTCAGAAGATACCCAAGCTGCGGATGTCTGGGGGTTTGATGGGTATTCCTGGGCAAGGACCACTGCTGTGTACTGATTTCTTCGGACACCTATGATTGACGAGGCAGGTTGCTGGGCTGGATGCACCTTTGCCCTGACACTGTGTGGCCATAGTATTGTCATGCCATTTCATAAAAAGTGGAGAATTTGAAAAAAAAAAAAACAAAAAAAAACAAACCACAATAAGTAACTTATCTGTGATTTATTTTCAACAGCCTCCATTTGATGGAGAAGATGAAGATGAACTTTTCCAGTCCATAATGGAGCATAATGTTTCCTATCCAAAATCACTGTCCAAAGAAGCTGTCTCCATCTGCAAGGGGGTGAGATAAATGCTTCTTTACCATTAAGTTCCTTTTTGGCAATCCTTGTGAATAACTAAATTTGTCTGGCTTTGATATGGCACTGTAGTATTTTTAAGTGCAACTTCTGTCAGGCAGTGCTAAGCTATATTGTCATGGAGTGCTCATTGCTTGGTGTCACTGATAAGTATTCAGCTCTTCCTGCTGTGCCTGCTTGTTTTATGGGAAGAACAAATGTCAGAATCAGTAGCTGCCAAACCCAAAGCAGAATTTATAAACAGAACAATGGTGTGAAACGTCTCCACCCACCTTGCCTCTCAGTCCTCAGCAGCACAACCACAGTTTTGCAGGGTGAGGAGATTTCTCAGTTTGGATAGATACCAGATACGGCAGCAAGTCTTCAGCCCAGTATGCCTACTGACAGCAGCAGAGCAAAAGAGTTAATAAGAATCAGTTTTAAATGTAGGCAAAGATGACCCTATGTGAAAATCCTGCATAAATGCAAAGAAACTGTGGGGAAATCCTGACCCAGTGGTGATCTGTGTGGCCTAAAATTTATATTAGATTCTAAGTTAATTTTTTTGTTTGTTTGTGTAGGAAAATAATAGATTTGACTTCAGGGGATTAGCTCAGGAAAAAAAATTCGTTTGACTTTCCTTTGACTCCATGTGACTCCCTAGAGTACTGTCACTCCACAGCTTTTCCAAACCACTGTCTATAAAGCATTATTTGATGTATTACTTACACTAATAAAATATCACTGCACTTAGTGTCAGTTAATTTAGTATTTACTTACTTCCTTTCCTCTGCAACCTTTTATGGAGCATTGTATGTGAGCTGGATATTAATCCCTTAAGGAAAAATCATCAAGAAAAAGAAAAGTGTTTAGAACAACAAGGTAAAAGGAAAGACCACTCTAATTTTGGAGCATATCGCATTGTAAGCGTGCTGGTCAACTAAAACTAAATATGATATATTTTTGTAGAGTACATACAGATTGATGACTTGTTGTGAAAATCATATAGTCAAACAGCACAGTTTGAACTTGATCAAATTACCCTGTTCTCAGCTCTCCTGCTTGCTGCTGTTCTGCTAGGTGCTTATGCAAAGGGAGGTCAGAAAGCTAAAATTGCATTGCGCCACTGGGTTTAAGGTCAAGTCTCTGTGATACTAACATGTTCGTTGTCTGTATTAAACTAACAAATTAATCTCAGATTTCAGTGAGCATTATACCTGAGCTAAGAAGTCAATATGAGAAAGCTTCTGAACCTTGTAGTCAGCAGTAGCTCAGCAATCCCGGGACTGCACCGCTGGCCAAGACAATGCACCCGCTGTGCTCTTGAAATTGAATTGTCTGCTTGACATCTGTTCTACTGAAACAGAGTTTGCTGGGGTTGGTAAATGCAGTAACTTCAGAAAGAATTAAAACTGCTAGAATCATTATTCACATTTTCTTTTGTTACCTGCTGTTAAAGCAAGGGGTTTAGAAAAGGTAACTAAAATGGGAAAGTTGCTGTTAAAGTTGAAGAGGGATGTGATTCCTAGCCCAGTGCAGAGCTGACTTCCCAAAGTCTGCTTCGGATCGCTTTTATTTTAGGTTCAAAATTGGAATCTGATCAACTCAACATTTGGAGGGAGACTAAAGTGGTACAGCTGAGGTTTTAAAAAGATGTGTTGAGGTATCACTCCCAGCAGTATATTAATCATATATAATTTGTAAAAGAGCTTTAAAAAGTCCCCACAATACTGGAACCAAGAGTTGCAGGTTACCTTACTCAATTCCTAATGTACGTATCAGTTGAAAAGATTTTGAAGAGCTCGTTAATTAGGGAGCATATAACTGCTTCCAATCATGCAATGCTGGGGTTTTGTTTTGGTTTTTTTTTCCCCCAAGTCTGCTTAATCTATGCAATTGGTATAGTATTGACCAAGATGTCATTAAGGATGCGAGGGAGGAAACACAGATTAGATACTGTCAGCTGGGTGCCAAGAAATTGTGGGCTCTGTAATGAGATGTCTCAAACAAGCCCAGAAAAAATGAAAGAGGGGGGGTGTACTTTGTACAGCTTTAGTATATTGGAATTTATTAAGTTTAATTGATTGTTGAGGTAGGGCAGAAGCTGTTCTGGAGATTTATAAGATTGAACTGAAAGACCAAAGGTGAAATTCAGGAGTGAGTTGTGAACTAATATGATGGCAGGTTGCCCTGGGCACCACCTGCCCACCCACACCTCCAGCAGCACCCTCTGCCAAATGGGGAAAAGGTTCTCAAGTGCAAAACTTAATCTTGCTGCTGACATGCTGTCTTCAGTAATCAAACAAGAAAACTAATCTTCAAAAAATGAATTTTAGCTTTTCAAAACAATTTTATTAGAAACTTGCATCTTCAGGAGAGGAGCAAGAGCATCACAATCTGGGGAAAGTGTCTTACTTTCATTCCAGCATTAAATTTAATCATTTGGTGTTTTCTTCTTAATAGCTAATGACTAAACATCCTGCAAAACGCCTTGGCTGTGGCCTTGAAGGTGAAAGAGACATCAGGGAACATGCTTTCTTCAGGAGAATTGACTGGGAAAAACTGGAAAACAGAGAGATTCAGCCACCTTTCAAACCTAAAGTGGTGAGTGAGATGCCAAGTACTTCTCTCGCTAAATGTGTCTGCAGTCATGCTTTCCCATGGGGTGAGATTAATGCTGGCTTGATGGTGCTGCAAATCTGGGACACTTCTAAAATAAGGCAATTTGATTATGGCAGACCAGTCTGTAAATCTGCTAATGTTTTGGCACCCTGTAGCATAACCCAGTGTACTTTGTTCCTTGCAAAAAATTCTCTCAGTGGTTTGAGTGTTGACTTCGATGGTCGTGCACCGCAGAAGTTGAAAATGGGGAAAATTGGCACATTCACATCAGCCACATGAGACATGTAATAAATTCAGTTCCCAGCTGTCTCCTCTGAGCAGCATCTAAAGTCAATGATCAAAGGTATCTGAATTACTGGGGTGAATTTCCTCCACAGTGGGCTACACAGCCCGGGGGGTTTGTACTCCTCATCCTCGAGTGATGAAACCCACATCTGCCAAGATTGCAAGAATAATTACTGATTTGTTTCTTAATGTTTATTACTGGTTTGCACACATGCATCTGTAGGAATATTTTAAAAATCCAAGCAAGTGAACTATGTCCTTACTGTGAGAACTGTTTGCATAACAGAATTTGAAGAACTGTATTTGTTCATACAGAATTTCTTTCAGCATGTACTGTGCTTTATTGGCAGGCAAAGAAAAGTATTTGCATGCAAGATTGCAAGCTTTCAGGAACAGCTGTAAATTGTTATGTCCTAACGTTGAATTTTTCTTCCCTAACACCTTTTTTGTTTCAAATGGGATGCATAGCTGGCTGTAGCACTGCAGGTATAGGATCATTGGTCTGTACACTGATTTATTGACCAATAGAGACATCCCAGTGTGGTATCACAAACTAATGAACAGAGGGAGGCCACTACCTGGTGGCAGAATGTATTCCTCTCTTCTTGAATACAAATGACTTTTTCACATCACCAAGAGGAGAGTTGCATGCTGAGAAGAGTGTTTTATGCTAGGGAAAATACCCTTTCCATGTGGTGTGGATTTTGCATGCAGAGAAGGGTATAAATAGGAACGCGCGTGGTGTTGCCAACCCTGCCTGGCCAGTCCCCAGAGCTCTGTCCGAAGGCAAGCGGCACCTCTGTAGAGTGTATTTTGTGGAAGATTTTCATTACATGCTTCTCAAGTCAAATTTTAAGCTGATCATAAAGCAAATCTACTTTCACATCTGTAAGTTTTATTAGCTCAGGAGCTGAGCACTTAGACTCTCCTTGAAGTTAAAAGTAACACCAGCATGAAGATACTAAAAGCTTGAAGTATGGTCTGGTTCCATCATAGCACATTTCATGACAGATCCTGGCTCCTGTTTAGAGCAGCTGTGCTCTGTCTCCGTGGTTATCATGACCTGTTTTATTTGTACAGGCTGTTACTAAAATACACCAAGGTGTGTATTCACATGGAGCCTAACTTTCCCAGACAAAAATAATTTAAAATCCAAGTCTGATATTTACATACCCTATGTATAACTCATTTATTGTGATTGCTGATTCTGTTCATATTGATTTTAGAAAGGAAAAAACACATGATCCTTAATCTGTTTGAAGATGTGTGTGTATTTATAGGCTTTGTTTGGGGTGGGTTTTTTTCAGAAACCCTTTGTAGGTGCATCTTCTTTAGGAAACACGTTGCTGCAGGAATAATCCTGCTGCTTTTGCACACAGGCATGGTTGTCACTCGAACACAGAGCTTCAGATTTTGGGTCAGCAGTTGGTCGGTTTAAATAATGTGTTCCCTTCCAGATTGACATTTCACAGTCTATAGGCACAGACTGATTATTTGACAGGAAGGATATTTTACTCGTATTTGTAAGCTTAGGAGTTCTAGGACTCCTGTATTTTCAGTTCTGCTTTAATACTGCATTAATGCTCACAATAGCAATTCTACTTTTTAATGTGAAGACAGATATGTAATTCAAGATGCAAATTTATTGATAAATTATTGTATTTGCACCCAAAAAATACTCAAATTTTGCATGAGTTATTTCTTAGCCTCTACTAGTATAAGCAATAATGAGAGACCTAATGGAATCAGGGACTTTGGTTTCAATATACAGCTTGTCTTAATACTTTCCACTTGCTGAAAAAAGAAGAAGAAAAAGAAAAACAAGAAAAGAAAAAGAGCATAATTTTGTGAAAGGATGATGTGTATCTGTAGAACATCTCTAGGAAAAAGCCTTCCCCGTATAAATAGCCCTTTTGTTGCTGCTCTGAGTTGACTCTACTGTCTCTAAACAAATTTGACTGCTAATTTGGGGATACGTCAACTTTCATTCCAATAATGCAGAGTTTCCCCCTTGCAAAGTTCAGCTCTGTCCGTTCTCGTTCTCCAGAGATTCTGTACCAAAATGCACTGGCTTCAGTGGGCACCAGGGTATTCGGTGAGTGCAGAACCCCGGGTGAGAAAAGCAGACGGCTGTTAGCCTTTAACCCGCTGAAGTGTTCCTCTGCTTGTGTCCTTCCAAGGCTGAGCAAGTGTCCTTCTGTGAGCACTGTGGTCCAGAACCTGAGCATGCGTTTTTCACCTGAAATACAAACCAACTTGTGCCTGAGGCAGTAAAAGCTCTTTGCAGCTCACATCAGATAGCATGTCCCAGTCTGGGTGCTTTGCAAGAAGATTGAAAACCATGACTGAGCTGTTTCAAGAGAGCCAAACACCTCACCCTCGAGTTCCCTTAACGGGCCCCTCCTCAGTTGGTTTCTCCTATAAACACAGCTTTATTCATGCTGCATTAGTTCAGAAAAATCAATGTTTAATATTGGCCCATCGTACAAGCCATATTCTACCCTTTCCAAGTTATCCTCTAAGGTTGAAGATAATAGTGTAATGTTATCCACTAAGGTTGAAGATAATAGTGTAATGTTATCCTCTAAATCCACACGTAGATATATCACAGGGGTGGATGGAGAGGTAAGGGTCAGGGACAACAGGAAGAAATGTTCAGTGCCTTTATCACACATTCATGCTTTTTTTTGAAGATCTGTTGCAGTACATAGTTTTGAGATAAAGAGATTTACCAGTTTCCTTTAGACCTCTCCACAATACTCAATGCCCAGTTTTCCTCAAATATGTGGTTTTTCTTGCACCCAAGCTAATTTTGTTCCGGTCTCACCTTCATCCTTTTTAACTTGCCTCTAATTATACTTCCCTGCTTTTCAAGTGTTTTCTGCATTACTCAAAACTATCCTTTCTGCAAACCTGATTTCTTTTGTTTTCTGTTCTGAATGAGTTGTGTTCAGCGTGTAGCTATATATAACCCCCCCTTCTTGACTTGGCTTCACAAGACAAACTGTGTCTTCTCGTAGACAAAAAAAGGAGGAAACCTGTCATGGCACGTTTTGTAATGAGGATCTGTTCCCAGGATGCGCTCCCTGCCCCAGCTCCCTCCTGCAGTCCCCAGGACTGGAGCTCTGCTGTCATTTATGAATTTACAAGAGTTTATAGGCCGTACAATGAAGAATCAAAGCATATAAATGAATTACATTAAGCTTTCTGCAGATTGTGAAGGAAACGGAGACTAACACAAAAATTTAATTTTGCATCAAAAAGGTTTTAAAAAGAGTGAAATGACTTGATAGATAAAGTATCTCTTGCCAATACCGGTCTATAAAAATATTTTCTTTTTCCTTTTTTTATCCCAGTAATTCTGAATATTTAAAGCCTCTTTACCTCATCGCCTCATGCTGATGATGGAAACTTTTCTAAAACCTGTCTGGTATTTTTTGTTAAAATACTTGAAAATTTTCTCTTAACTACTCATAAGAAATAAAGGAAATTCTTGCATGTATCCTGAAAAATCTGAAGAAAGCTGGAACTGCCAATGTATTGCTGATTTTTTCAGCCTTTTTTCTGTTTGTTTTTTTTTCTTGCAGTGTGGCAAAGGCGCTGAAAACTTCGATAAATTCTTTACACGAGGACAGCCGGTATTAACACCGCCGGATCAGCTGGTCATTGCTAACATAGACCAAACAGATTTTGAAGGGTTCTCTTACGTCAACCCCCAGTTCATACACCCCCTTTTACAAAATGTAGCATGAAATGACAGAACAGGAACAAAACCCACAGTGGAGAATGGTCCTTAACCCTACAACTTTTAGGCTTTTGCCTTGTTGATTCCACTTAGGCCTGGAAATTGTAGGGTTAGAAAGTGTAAGGTGGGGGGAAGGCCACTTATCCAGGATTTTGGCTTTGCAACAGCAATGTTGTCTTAATGGGAGGTAGATTAGTGTATGGTGCCCACTTATTCTTCTAGAAGTCACCACTGACTCATCTAAACTTACCCATTTTTTGGTACGTTATATATTTTTATAACTTCCCGCTATCCTTTTGCCCCCGTTTCCACTCTGCTGCATTAGAAATAATCTAATACATGGTCTGAAAAATAAACCAACCTTGAATATTTAGTCCTTTGGTGCGGATGCTGGGAGATAGGAGCACTTGGCCCCGCGGGACCGCTCCTCCCCGCTCTGCCTGGTGACTTCAGGGAGATCAGCAGCACAAGAGACTGAAACGGCGGCGGCACCGGGGAGGAGAAGCATTGCAAAAAAAATGTTGAAAGTAGTTGTTTCAAAAATATGACAGAAACGAGTTGGGAGTGGCTGGGAAGGGGGGACAAAATGAAATTAGACCCTGAGGCTTTCGTGAACCGATCCTGTAAGCAACACCAAGTTTAAACACACTTCAGCGGTGGCCAGATCTCTAGGATCTTTGTTAAGTAGCATGTGATAAACTCAAGGGTGAAATTTTGTCTTTAATAATAATAATAATAATAATAATAATAAATAGTAATAATTTTAATAATATTTTGTGAATTTAATCTCCATGAGATTATTCTGTGATCCAGGGTGCCATTGTTTGTTCAGTTAATATCATTTACACCACTCCTCGAGTTTACTGTTAACCAGTTCTAATACCAATATTATACTATGAAATTTGTTAACCTGGAATGTAAAACAAAATTTTAATCACTTAAATCTATTTACATGTGTTTGTTTATAGTCTGCAGGATAGGACAGTAAATCAAAGAAAGCATTATATATACAAAATTAACTAAAAATGCAGCCCTTAGTGACTACCTGATTTCTCCAGAATAACTCATGAAAATCAATTGAGATCTAGTCTTGAAATAATCAGTTTTAATTCAGAAAACTTTGGGCTGTAGAATAATCAAGCCTGAAAGAAGAAGCACCTAAAACTTGTTTTATTGATAGAATGGAATTTAATACATTTTACATATGCTTCATGCAATGAATTTTGCATGTTTAGTAATAACTCTTAATAATAAGAGTTAATAATAAGCAGATCTATATTATTGACATAATCGTATCAAGCATAAAGAGTATTATAAAAATTTTATAAAACAAATTGTGCTTTATTTGTGAAGTTCTTGTTCTGAATGACATCATTTAGATTTAGCTAAATGTTTTATTGCTATTGTTTTGGTTTTTACTTTAGGTTTTGGATATTGTTAATGGCTTAGGGTATAATCTCTTTTTTTAAAAGTAGATCTACTTTTAAACAATAATTGCTACCTGCAGGTTTTATACTGAGGTTCAATTAGGCTTTCATTTCACGTCTGCTTATTACTTACAAAGAAGGAAATAGACTTTATTTGCAATGATGAGCACTGTAATTAATGCAATCTTCTCCTCTCTTATCACTTAGATAAAAAATTTTGATATTTCCTCTTACAACTTACCAGAAGATATTAATTCAAATATCAGTAAATATTTTTTGTGCATATTTTGGTTTTGTTACAGCATGTAAAATAGTAGTCAGTGCATCTTCCCTTTTTTGTCCCTTCTGCCTCGTTACTGTTAGCAGCCATAGGCACTTTTTGTCTGTCAGACGTGCATGATGATGTCAGAAGCATGATGTCTCTGTTGCTGCATGCAGACTGATTACAATTTTTCCAGCATGTAAACATATTCAAAAAGTAGGATACTTGCCATAAAAGACTTAAATTTATACTAGAATATGTAATGGGGGGGGGGAATGGGAGGGGAATCTACTTTCTAATCATCTTTTATGACAATAAAACATGGAACCTGTGCCAAAGATCCTGTTAGAAAGATCCAACCCTGCAAACTGGTGTCCAAGTGGGTGGGTTTGGCTTCCAGGGGTGGCCCGTGCTGGAGTGGGACGGTTTGTGAGTGAAACACGGTTGGATGCAAACGGCATCTGTGTTGTGCTTCTGCACCCGTGGTGCCCTCAGGAGCCCTATTTTTGGTGCCTAGCACATGGGATTTGCAACACTCCAGAGCTTTGGTGGTTGCCCGGTCGTAGCCCTTCTGCAGCCCCAGCTCTAAGCAAGGAGCAGCTCCCCGGGTGGGCGTGCGCGAAGCGGCCGTCCTGAGCACACGGCTAACGAGGGGCACTGGCCAACTAGCAAGAATTCAGATTGTTGCCTAAATAAACAGAGCTCAACATTTTTAAAACATTTTAGGAGTAAAATTTTCAAACTATTCTGTGTCAAATATGTTATCAGCCAAGTCTGAGAGTTAATTTTGTTCTTTGTGTGTTACATACTTTAAAAATTATGGTACTCACCATAAAGCATGTGGACTAGTGCAGCATTCATGACTTTTTATGTTTTTCTGAATATTATTAGTCTGCTATAGTTTAGGAAAATCTGAGTATCATGCTGTAGAGGGTAATAGATTCAATAGATTACTGAGGTTCAGATTTTTAATAAAGAAGGGCGGCTCTCAAGTAAGTCAGTCTGCTGAGAGGCAGCATTACATGCGTTTTAAAAATGTGAAGTGAAAAAGAGACTTTTGAAAAAGGAAAATACTGGGTGAAATACCAGCACAGGGGTTTTGGAAGTTAAGAAAAGCAGTAGGGGGGCAGAACCCGGCCACAGACAGGCAGGAGATCCCACAGGTAGATGTTCCCCAACAGTTCTGGTTTCCTGATGCAATAGGAATTGTAGAGGGAAGTCCCGTTGCAGGCGGTTGTTGCTGGCCCCGCTGTGACAGTCGGTGCTGTTCACACCACAACACGGCCTTAAAGAGCTGGTCCGACGGCGGAACAGAGCTGCTCCTTTTCTGGCTGCTTCTCGTAACCAGTTTCTTAGGCACTTGCATGTGCTCCCCAGTTTTTCTGATGTAGAAGCAGAAATCCTCCTTAACGTTGTTACCTCAAGTCCCTGGGCTTGCCACATCTCACGTCGTCTTCTGCAGGTGTCTGTAGCGCTTACGAAAAGGGACTGTGAACTCGTGGATCCTGCAGGAGCCAGGCAGGGTTGTATAAAGCAGGGATTGAATGTTTGTGTTACTCCTCGCTGCTCTGCCCAGTGCACTCACACGTGAACGCTCGCACTTGGACCAGCCCTTTAATGAGAACTCCAGGTGATTTATCATCCAGAAATTTATAATGGCAAGTAAAACCTTAGGTATCCAGCAAGCATTTTCGTGGCTTTTTTAATACAGATGTTATTAATATAATATTTTTCACAAGATTTGGTTTTCTAGAGAACATGTATCAACAGAGGGAGAGGCATTAGAACTGCTTTCACTTGTGTTCAGTAAGTACTGTAATCTGAACACCCACATTATCACAAAGATTTCTAAAAATCAAATTGAAAATTATAATGCACTGATGCTAGGGTGAAAGTTTTGGGAGCCATGTTTCCATCCCACGTGCACTCAAGTCCCCGGGGGGCTCCGGAGCAGCCCCATTCCTGCCAGGTGAGGCACAGGTCTGCCACATAAAACTTCCAAACTGTCTTCAGGGATTAAATGGGACTTCACTGGCTTCCAGGCAAATTTCTTCTATATTTGGGCATCTGGGTGTTTTTATCCACCTTCAAGTCACTTCAGCAGGGTGGTGGGTTTCCAGGACAGCCACTTTGCCCGCCGGCCAGTCTTGGTGCTCTTAGCAAGGATTGCACATACGTGAGAAGGAGAGAGCATGTTCCCATAATCAAATATTCCCCTTAATTCAATTTAGAGGAGAAATGCAATTTAGCTTTCTGATCCCTCAGTCTTTCCAGAAATACAATTGAATTTCCTTTTACAAACTGAAGAAAGTTCTTCTGGAAATCAGCTGTTAGTTTAAAAGAAACTCAGCATACCTAAATGCTGTTGGCCTTTGAAATCCATCCTGTCTTTTGGGGTGATTTCAGTTGAATAATGCTGGGCTCCTGTAAAGTTAATAGGGTCAAGTGAGAGAGGAACTTGTCTTCTAGCTGGAAGGATGATGTGTCCAGGGGCAGGGCTTGAGTGGTACCACTTGCAAAGTCTGTTTTCTCAGGTGGTGCATCCAGATGCAATCCCAGCTAAGTGCCGTAGGAAACACGTGCAGTTAGCAGAGGGGGAAGATCCTCCTTATTAAGTAAAATGCATCACTGGAAATAATAATTATCTAATAGTAAAGCTTTGATATGAGTAGAAAGCATATTTACAGTATTGAGTTTACAGTGGGCTTTTGGACCTGCCACGAAACTTCTGGAAACATTTAATGTAATTTTCAGTTCTTTTAGTCATCAGCATAAATTAGCATAAATTATAATACAGGTTTTGTCTCTTTGCAAACATGAGTGTCAGCTCTAGGCAATGTGTTACCTCTCTGCTGTTTGATAGGTAGGCACTGAGCTGCCAAGTAGTTAAAAAGTAGACAAGCTAAAGCACTTTTTTGCTCAGCTCCACACTCTTAGGCAAGATCTGAAGTAGTTCAGTTGAAGAATTTAATAAGAACTTTGAAGAATTAAGTAAGAACTGACTCCATAAACATGTATGATTTCCTACCAACCAGTAACCGTGCCAGTAATGATCGGTAATTAAATAGCCTTATGATAAATAATCACCATGCACTACAGCCCTCCTGTTCCTAGGAAAATCGAGAGAGAGAGAGGGCAAGTTATTAACCTCCCTGCCTCAGTTACCTCATCTGTAAAATGGGGATAATAATACTTACTTACCTCACAGAGAGGTGTGAGGAATTCTTAGGTAATGTTTCTAATACACTTTTAACCTGAAAAGAGTTGTGTAAGTATTATTATAATTTTTAATATTAAATCAGCTTATTCAATTCACATGGTATTGCTGGATATACCATGCTATTTCTACTTTTTTATAGAGCTTTAGTAATTCTGCTGAAACCATTTAAAGAGAAATAAAATCAGATCTGATACGTTTCTTACAGAATCTGGAGTCCAGCTTTTGTTAACTGGAGTCAGGGTGAGTTGGGGAGTGATGCTTGCTGATTGTGTAGGTCAGCTGCACTTACCTCTTTTCCAGTTACTGAGATTTCTATGTACAATTTACAAATTCCATGTAAATGGAAGTCTTAGCATAACTGATGTGGTGCGATTCCTTATGGCTAAATAAAGTCAGCACAACTGTTTTCTAGTAATGTTTATACTGACTCCTATTGAAGGAGAAGTGATATGTTTTATGCAGCTGGTCCATCCATAACAGGTTTATTCCGTTGATATTTTAATGTATTCCTGTGTAGTATATCTTCACGCTTTTCTTTTTCTTGCGTGTGACACCATAGCTCAAATATAAAAGAATGCCCTAGAAGCTATGACTTTTTTTCCACTGATGTCAGTCGACCAAAAAAAAAAATCAGCAGTCTATTAATAATTTGAAACAGTGATGTGCAGGAAGAGTAGCAGCAGCACTGATAACCGGCCCCAGCCTGCTTCCACTGAAACTCATTTCTCACTACAGGTACATTGGAAAGTCTACAACTGATGTTACATTAATTTTATAATTGTGAGTTGGTGACAGGAACATTTTAATGGCAAGTAGATTTATGTTTCTGATCTTTATAAACCTTTCCCTAAGAACTATTTGAGTTGTATTTATTTTCCTTCCCTTTGAGCCCTGAGAGGCAATACTGCCATTGGCTCCGTCCTTCCAGAGCTTCGTGTGCTCCTCTCTTGGCCTGCCAAGGCATCCAGTGGCACCGCTGCGTGCTCGGAGCTCGCTGGGTCCTTAGTTGCTTTACTGGAGCCAAGACTGCAGGATCCAGCATCTGGCAGCACTAAGCCTGTAAGCTCCAATTCAGCAAAAATATTAAGTATATGCTTGTGCCCGTTGCTGTTCAGCAGAGCGTGGACATTTGGGCAGCGCAGCTCCACCTCCCATGGAAGTCAGTTGAGTTTGCACACTCGGATGCCTTGCTGACTTGGAGCAGAAAAAAACGTTCTTGCAGTGATAATACAAATTTAATCTGTGACTTGTTTCCCACAAAGCCTTTCATTTATTCTCTTGTGCTGTTAAAATGAATGTAAGAAAAATAACTTCAATGAAATGAAGCTCATTGCCTCTTTTAAAAATGTGCATTTCCCAACACATGTATGGTTTTGCACAATACAGAGCACACCTGAAACTTTTAAAATTATTGGATGTTACTTTAATATTTTTTTAAAACAAGGAGTAATCCCACCTTGAACTCATTCATATTTTTAAATATTATTTTAAGACCCAAATTTTGTATTTATAAAGAGGAGAATACTATTTATTTTCTTATCATTTATTTGCAAGATGCTACCAGAAAATTTGGAGAGGCCATTAAGTTTTCAAAAAAAAATTAAAAAAAAAATCATTGGAAGTATAGTGGGCAAGACTGATGTATAAATTACAGCATCTTTTTTTTTCTTAATCCGCGATATCTTCAATCTTTGTTTGCATGAAATGCTTTTGTTAAATATCAATTGTAGTTTCAAAGCAAGTGTGTATGAATAAAAATACTGATCATTACTTTTGTGTGAGTTTGCCTTGATGAAATTTCATTTCAAAATGGACTCCACAGAGCCCAGTGGCTGCAGTGATTACGGCGTGATCAGACACAGAGCTCACCCTTGCTTCTCCATTCATACACAGAATTTTGACCCGGGTCCTTTTTTAATTCCTGTTAATCAATTAAAAGAAAAAGAGTCTTCAGTGGGGAAAAGATCTGTCTGTGAGAGGATTTCTGCATGCTGAGGGGTGAGCAGGCGGCTCTTTGAGCCAGCAGCTCCCCGGCTGACCTCGCTGGGCTCGGTCTCTCAGTCGCTGCAGGCGTGGATGCCACAGGGAAAAACGGCCCCGGGAGCGCGGCGAGATCTGGGGTCGGGGGGTCTGACTCACGGCTTGATGTGAGACTTGGTGGTGGAGGGATGTGCCCTCCAGTTAGACCCCAAGAAACCTCAAACTTCACGTTTTCACATCCCCCTGTGCGTGAGCCCTGGGCAGTTCATCCCACCCTCTGACGCTTTTTCCTGGGAAGAGGGTTTGTTTCGTGGTGATTAATGGCACTCAGGGGCTCAACTTTGCCATGAAATACTCAGTTTAGCACTCCTAGAGGAGAGGACACGACCTCTCAGTCCCACCAGTCATACTCACCTGAGTCCAGGCACTTGCCTAGTTTAGGCTGATGTAATTTTATTTTACAAATTTGAAAGCAATGTACAAATACTGTGACAACTTGACAACTTCTTTTTCTGCTTGCTCTCAAATGTATTGAATCTCATGCTAATTCAATAAGTGGGTTAGTTTAATTTGCAGAAAAATCTGGCTGAGTTTGCCCAAAGGAATGGTTGAAATTCTTTCCTTTTTTCATCGAGACAGTGTTACCAGGCTGCTACATGCTACTCAGCCTTCATCTAATGTGTGCAGCTTCTCCTGAAGCCCATGAACTTGTCTCTTCTCAGGCCTTGAGAGCTTTCTGCAGAGCAGAAGAGGGAGTTAGCAGAGACATCGCTGCCCTGAGCTGGTGTATGTGTAAAGTCTGTGCAAGAGGTGAGGGGTCCTCAGAGCTCTGCACTGCCAGACCTGCATCTCCCCCCACCTCGGCTGTTTAGACAGGGCCTGGGTGGGATTTCATCCCAGCCGTGAGCTTTAGGGTGGACTCAGTAGTTTTCCCTGCTGCGAGGGGAGCACTGAGCTCCCCAGAAATACAATATTGGGATGTTTGGACCTGTCAAGGCTCCTAATACTCCAAATGATCAATATCAACCCATATGAACAACACAGCCTTTAAACCTTTCAGAAATACTGTCCCAAATATAAACGAACTCTTTGCAGTCTCAATACCAAGCTATTAAAGGAAGAAAAAAAATTAAATAAATAAATACGCACACGCATTGCCCTCTCTGGCTGCAGCTTAACCAAACCACTGGCACTACAGCAGCAGCTCGTGGGGTCGTTGGCTTTTCGGGTTGCAGAGACCTCGTTAGACAAAAGTCTCTAAACACCCTCCAGAGTTCTCCCTGGGGAAAGACAAGTCTGGCGGAGGCGTGCGAGGGTGGAAAGAGACTCCAGCCTGACCCGAGTATCGGGAACAGGCATCTGAGGAGCTGGTGCTTTTGCAGCAAAGTGGTTGCTCCTAGTGGTCCTGCTCCCTTGGTGCCCTTGCTGGGGGTGGAGATGGAATCCTGGGTGAAAGGGAGGGAATTCATACCAACTGAGCATTTCTGTTTGATTTTTTCTAAGCAGGCAAGATCAGGCTGGTGATCCTTGGGAAAATTGAGAGTTAAAGGTCTCTGCAGGAGAGGCTGAATACCTTAATGCCAGCAGCATCCCATCTCACCATCTCATCTCTGTCTGGAACGCTTCCAGCACCCAGCACTCCATAAATCACAGCAATTACTTGTGGCTGCCACCTGCAGCTGAAGGCACCATCCTCCCTCTCCCAGCCCCGACTTCTCTTTAGAGATTTGTGTATTTGGCTTTAGAAATCTCAGAATGTTTTTACAGACCTGGTACATGAGTCACAAATATAACCATCTCCTCTGAGAGCTGCTAGGTTAGCTATAAGGATGACTGCATTAATTACTGCAAGGTAATTATTATCCCACCTGCTTCGGCAAAGGCAACCTTTGCTGCTTGGCCAAAAAAAAACCTGAGTAAGCCCCATGGAGCCATGGTAAAGCAAAGACAAATCAATGAGGGCCCCAAATCAGGAAAGTTCTTCCCACATGCGGATGGGTTGTCCTCAAAAGGATGTTTTCCCCAACCGCATCTGTCACTTGTCACCTTCCCAAAGTGATGCTAAGCCCAAAGAAATGGGGATTTGACCAGGAGAACAGATGGTGGCACGTCTGGACCCACAGCAATACCTGCAAGTGTTTCTTTTTTGCTTTATTTTCCTGCTTTTCCCAAAGGAGGAGTGTGAAATAAGGCAGATCTCACGGGAAATGAGTCAACACTGTCTCCTTCTCAAGGGATTTGCCTCATTCGCTGCCAGGGTGACCGTGTCAGACACCAGCTGCCACTTCCAGTGTTCATTACTGGCCCCTGAGTCAGTGTCCGACATCCCACCTCAGGAGATGTTGTTGGACAATCTGATGAAGGGGGGAGAAAATTTCAAAACCAATTTAAAGCGCAATACCTGAGTGAGAAAAAAAAAAACACAACCCCACAATGGAAGTTTGCTTAGAAGTGTTTTAGATCTTATTCTCGCCCAACAAGGCTGGCAATATCACCCATCTCTTTCTCTGCCACAGCAGAGCCTGTGATTCACATGCTGGGAATGAATTTCCCTTTCCTCAGGGTGCCCAGATCCCTCCCTATAGCGCCAGGGCTCAGCTGGGAGCAAAAATTCAGCTGCTCCCCAAAGTCAGTGGCAACGTGGCCCTTTGCTGTGCTGGTAATGGGGCTTTTAATGTCGCATAAAGTATTTGACCTGTGCAGCTGGATGTTGCAGCAGATGCAATGAAGGGCCTGACTCTCTCTCTCAGGAGCACAGGATGCACATGTTGTAGTTACTGGTGAGTACTGGGGTTACTGCAAATTTCCCGTTAAAAGTATTTTTGAAAGGAGCTGGGTTTTGGAAGGCTGCGTACACATACTGATGTTTCCTGCATTAGTGTGATGAACACTTTTTCACCCCTGCCACCCTACAGCAAGGCCGAGCCAGAGCTGCTCAGAGGGGTTTGCAATTCCCAGAGGGGTTTGTCACACTCCTCATTTCTACCAGACCGATGGCTTTGCCCTTCTTCACGATGTTAGCTTTCTCCCACCCTGCCCTCCCACACTTGTGAGCTCCAGATGTGTGTGTGTCTGTGTGTTACAAATACCCATGTGAGTGGGGATGCTCAGGGGATGGGGACACTCACGTGTTTGTAGCAACATTTCAGCTGCTGGGTTTGCCCAGTAAAGTCTGGTTTTCAGGGACTGGCCTTTTACTAACCCTGTGCTTATCCCCTACTTGCCACTCACATGCAGCTCCAGGACGCACAGGTACCTGGGCAGCCTGGACACAAACCAGCTGTTTCTCAGGTTACAAACCAATGTTCACTCCACATCTGTGCTATTTTTCTTTCAGCCTTGAGGACTTGATCCATCAGCCCTTATCTCACTCCTCTATTCAGAGCACTTAACAAAACTCAGTGCCCATAGCAGGGAGACTTCAGAATCCATATGAAACACTCCACAACAATCTATATAAAACTTCATTAAAGCTTCAACATTTTCAGTGACACCTCCAGAAACACTCTTCTTTCAACAGGATTCATTTGCTTCTCCTATAAATGTAACCATGTCTGAGACACTGATTAGGTGTGATTTCAGGAAAAATCTATCAGAAATGGTTATGAAAGCAACCAGCAACGAGTGCAAGGGCAGAAGGAGGGAAAGAGCACAGGCCAGTGATGAGAGCATCCCAAAACTCATTGGATCAGTTCCTGGTCCTTTTGGGACAAGTCATTTAGCATTCTTGTGCCTGATTGACCCTAACATCATTAAAAGATTGGTAATGAATTTCAGTGCTATATAAATCACATGGAAAACTATTACCCTTAATACAAGTATTATGAGGCTTTAATAATTAATGTCATCTAAACTGCTTTCCAAAACATGACCTTTTAAATCTGATTGCTGTGGCCAGAGCCATCCCTCATCCTGCAAGCAGCCTGTTTTCCAGTCAGCCTGGGTGGCTCCAGTGGGGTCGTCCTGGGGAACCTGGACTGGTCCAAGTCCCAGAGACCAGCCTTGAGAGGGGGTATATTACCAGTACCTCTGTTCCTTCTGCAGAGGGTTAACAGAAAACACCAGTAGTTAGAGCAAACTTACTGCCAGCATCTCTTCTAGCTTGTCTGATGGAAGGGCACTGCCCACTCGCACGGTGCAGTGGTGGGACGTGGGCACTTCATGCCCTTCCCACCCTCCGGCTTGGGGACACACAAGCTGGGCAGGCTGGGGCAGCGGTGCCTGCTGGCCCCGGGCCACTGCTGGGGCTAAAAGATGCCACTGGCCAAGCTGCCGGGACAAAAATCCTGATCTGGCACATCCCCAGCTTTGTTAGCTCAGTTTGGACCCTTCTGATTACAGAGGGGATTTTATTTTAAATAAAGTATATAACTTCCATTCACACGTGCGCCTTTGTTATTCTGTGAGTCAGAGCCTCTCGGGGAGGCTGGCTGCAAAAGGCTTTGCATTTTTTTTTTTTAAGCTTTCACACAGCATGTGGGTGCGGAGATAAAAATAATGTTGCACCTCTCCTTGCGCTTCCTCCCGAGCAGCGGCTCCAGGCAGAGGGATGTGCAGGAGAAACAGCAAACGGAGCTCCAGCTCCAACAGCCCACAGGAATTAATTAATTTAGTCATGGTACAAGCAGGATATGAAAACCCTCCCCGGAGAGGGGAGCGGCTGGTGTTCTTTGGTGCCATGAGTTTTCCCTCTTTTCCTACTTTCAGTGTCTGAAAGCTGAAAAAATAATTATGTTGCTGCTGGGATGAGGAGCAGGCATTGTATAAGTGTGTTCTGACTCCTGCCATATAGCAGGACCCGGTGGGAGCATCCCATCCCAAGGTCACATCCCACCTGCACAGGAGCCGTGGATCCCAACCCCAGGCTGCTGATGCCAGTTTTGCTAGCCGGCACCAAATCTGTCCTGCAAACACCCTCTCGTGGAAAGAGAAAATCTCGAAAGTCCCTCTAGCAAGTGGTTCTCAACCTTTGGATGCTGCACGGGGGAGGCAGCGGGTTCCCCGGAGCAGCGTGCCGGGGCTGCTGTGCATCTCTGCCATGCTCTGGTGTCTCCCCAAGCCTTCCCCAGGCTGTGCTGCCCACGAAATGACAAAAAATAGCAAGTGCTGAGGCAGCTGGCATGGAGCATCCGTCACCTCCCACACAAGTCACAGCAGCCTCAGCATTGTGTCACCAGTTCCTTGCATTTACCTGCTCTCTCGCCTCTTTTCTCAGGCAAATGTTACAATTTCTGGCTGGTGCGGACTTTCCCTTCCAGTGCCCAAAACGTTTCTTACAGCCTGGAATACAATTAAAGTTGGTTGATAGCTGTTCGATGCTGGACCAGAACCATGCATGGGTTCGAGGGGTGGCTGCCCATGGGGTGGCTCATCCCAGGATGTTTGCTGAGCAAATTTTCTGTGTGAATAATTCAGTGTAGAGCAAATTAGAGGGAGTGGGAGGGGAGGCAAACCCGAAGTCTCCTGTCAGCTCGTGGCCCAGGCTGGCAGGACCAGGCATTTTATTGTATAATGTCCTGAGTGCCTTCAAGGTAATTCTGCTGGAAGGGAGAAGACCAGGGAAACGGTTCCCTACAAATGTCACCTGCAGGAATTAAACGCAGCTGAAAGGAGACAGGCCCTCAGCACCCCTCTGCACTTCTGACAGCCCAAGGAGAGCTGCTGTAAAGAATTGCTCCTGGTCTGGGCCATTAATGAAGCTTAAATCCCTCCTCACTAATAAGATTTGCCCTTGGATGCTTCCTAAAAGCTGCCTGCTCAGGTGTCCAGGGAGCTTTGTTCTTCCACACTGGTTTTGAACGTGGTATGAAAAGCTGCTCCACCAGCACAAGGGTTGGCAGAGCTGCTCTGGCTGGGTGAAGCTCCAGCCCTGCAAAGCCTGGCACAGCTGTGTAACGTTGTGATGGGCGAGATCCCACCTGGCTTCACTCACCCCACGCGTGACTGTGGCAGAGGATCTTCCCTCTTAGGGAGGAGAGAGCTCAGCAGGAAACAGTGAAAAGTGGGGAGGTCAAAGGGGTCCTGCTCTGGGAATGTTGAGATGGCATCAGATGGTGTTAGAGCAAACAAACAAAAAAACCCAAAACCCACCCAAAATAGTTGTTGCAGGATTTGGCAAAGTTCTGCCCCAAGTGTTGGAGGATGCTGAGAAGATGTGAAGCGCTAATTGTCCTGCCTGGGACAGCCACACTGAGCTCCTGGCCAGGAGAAGGAGTTCCCACTTCATCTTCCCTGGCTTTTGCCATTAGCAGGGAGGTAAGTGCTATGGGGAAGGAATTATGGATGGCTGCTAACGAGGTAGGAGAGCTGAGCTGTGCTTCTGGGGTTTTGGGAGGCATCACTGGTGCCCTTGTGCAGCCTGGCCCTGGCATGCTGGCGGGAAATGTGTGAGTGTTGGCATCATGCACGTGCTTCGGCACGGCAGAAGTTGCTGTATGAAACAAGAAGCAATGGAAAATCCATCCAAGTGTTTTGTTTTAGCCTGAGTACATTTGCATAGAAGAAAAAGGGGGGGTGGGGGGTGGGGCATGGTGGAGGGAAGAGACTGAAGCCCAAAATCTGTGTTTCCAATTGATTATATGCATGGCTGCTGGGGGCCTCTTACTGTAATGGTTAATTATGTCACTGGCTGTATGTGCTGCAGCCTTTATTCATGTTGTATTCAAATAATCCTGCACAGTGCCCAGGTGGCTAATACAGCAGATTGCTTGTCTGGATTAAAATGGAGGTTTGCTTTGTTTTGGGTATTTTTAACAACAGGGAGACAAGATAAATGATGAACAGCCAATTACTGTATTAAAATAATGTACCCTGACAGAACATGACAAACATCCAGGTCTAACCTGCCTTTTGTAGTTTTTTGACTTTATTGGTAATTCCCTGATGATTAGCTCCATCCCAGGGAAGCCTCTTCCTCCTCCTTGGGGCTGTGTGGGGCCGGGGGTCCTGGAGGGCATCACCTTTTCGACTGCCTTTCTCCAGTTCAGGATCCTTTCTGCTGACTGAATCCCTGCTCTCTCCTTGCTGTCCATCTCCCAATGGTTTTGCTGCCTTCAGTTATTCCTCAAATGCAAATTAGAGGTATTAAATACCTTTGGGGGTTGTTTTAAGAGCTCCAGCTGCAGGGAAGGATACACTGACACTGAAAGATGCATCTTTGCAAGGCCAGCCAGTTCTTCCTTAGGAGTCTGAGAGGTGATCCCAGGAAAACATGCTGAATTTGTTATAATTTCAGTATTACTGTAATTTTGTGCAAAAGAACATATGCAGAGGTGTAGTCCCTCAAAGACAAATAACCAGTGTGTTCTGGCTGCCAGCTGGAGTCCTACTGGGAGGCACTTTTCCACCAGCCTGGATCTCATTGGGACTTCTCTGTATTAGGCTCCACCATGTTCTGATTGGAGAAATCAAAACTTATACATCTGCATCGCCTTCTATTATGTCTATAAATTAAAACAGAGCTCAACAAGCCCAAGCACATGGCTCCATTGACTTTAAACAAGCCACCTAACCAACACCACCTCCGCATCTCGTATCTCAATTTATTTTGAATTATTCTAAGATAGCCATGTTTTCTAACTGAGGACACCTTGGGCAGACATGGGGCACATTTTAGCCAGAGCACTGAGAATCGGTGACCCACTGCTTATTAGAGACTGAATTTATTAGACTTGTAAGTAACAAATTGCTTTTGTTTTCCTGCTGGGAGGTCTCAGCAGCACCTTCCTCAAGAGCCACCCTCTGTCCTGCACCGCTGCTGTCCCTGCTGCGGGGACCCGGCTGGAGGAGCAGCCCCAGCACGTGCAAAGCCCTTGCACAAAATAAGCTTTTCCTGCAGAAATTTCTGGACAAATCCAAGCTTCAGGCGCTGTGATGGTGGCCGTGAGCTGCCCTCGGCCCCGCTGCCTGGGCTGGCAACTCACGTAGCAGGAGTTACCCGCAGGGTGTGTGACCCTTTTCTTGTCCTTCCCGCTGTATCCAAGGAAGTGTCCCATTGCTGGACACCCCGATGGAGCCGTGTCCTTATTCTTGGCTCTGCTGCTAATTTTCTATGTGTTTTGGCTGAATCACTCAGTCTGGCGGTGGTTTCCAGAGCCCACAGCATCTGCCCCTGTGTCCCTCTCTCCTTTAGCCCTGGCTTTCTCCCTGTCCTGGTCCTAGCCTTGCCAAGCTGGCTTTCTCCAGCGCCCTGGCTTGCTGCCCTCCAATCCTCCCCCTCGCCTGCTGCGTCCTCAGCCATGGATTTTTTTGACACTGGTGACTGGAGTCTGTCTTCCCTTCCCCAGCTCTCAAATAAGTCATGTCCCAGGGAGTGCAGCTCACCCAGCACTGCCCCCCCCCCCCCCCCCCGGCCAGTCCCACCCCAGAGGGGACTGTGTTTTTCCAGTTAGAGGGGTGCAGAGAGGCAGGGGGGGTGCATGGAAGGGAGGATGCATAAAGGGGCTGGGGCAATGCTGGCTCCCACTCCTGCCCCGGTGGTGAACTGGAGCCACCAACCACAGCTGAGGGACTGATGGAGGGAAGCAGGGAGAAGGGAAAGGAGGGGGATCAGAGGGGAAAAGGGAGGAAAAGAGGGCAGGTGGGGGAATAAAGGGGAAGGAGGAAGGGGGAAAGGAAGGATAGAGGGACGTGAGGGGGGGGGAGGGAGAAAGGAGGGGGGATGGAGAAAGAGGGAGGGAAGGGGGAGGGATGAAGGGGAGGATGGAGAAAGGGAAGGAGGGATGAAGGGAGGGAAAGGGGGTATGGAGGGAGGGAGAGGTGGGCTGTCCCCGTCGGCGCCATGTGATGCCCTCTCCTCCCCGGGCTCTCCCGGCCCTTCCCGGCGCGGAGCATCCCCGAGGCCGCCGGAGCAGCGCCCGTGGGGCCGGTGAGTGCCGCGGGGGGGCCCTTCCCGTGACCGGGCCAGGCTGCCCCGGGAGTGGGGAGCGGGGGGACCACAGTCCTGGAAGTGGCTTCGGGAGGCGGGGGGGAGATGTTCCGAATTCAATGTAAAAACCTGAAAGTTTAAAGCCCGAGCGGCGCGGGGGGGCGGTCTGGGAGGTGCCGCCTGGGTGCGGAGCAGCAGGGTTTAAGGTTATATATATATATATATATGTGTATGTGTGTGTGTGTATTTTTTTTTTTTTTTTTTTTCCATATCCCCCTCGGAGTCAGAGCCGGTGGTGCCCTCGGTCGCTCCCCGGGACGGGGGGGACACCGGCCCCGGGGGCACCGCCCCGGGCAGCAGCTCGCTAGGAGTCACCGGGACTTCGGGTTTGCCGGAGCCCCGAGTGAACGCCCACGGGGGACCTGAGCACACGGGAGCCGGTAAATCCCGGCTCTTCCTTCCAAGGGCTTTTTTTTCCACCAGACCGATCAGAGACACAGAGCACATCAGTCCCCATCTCCCGGGGACTGCGAGCATCCCCACCTTCACCGGGGACTTTTGAACGTAGAGCTGAGGAAAGGAAGTGTATTTATCACAGAGAATATAATATCTGCTGGAAGTCAGGGGCTGCCAGTATTTTTCAGTGTAGTAAACCCCTTGGAGAGGGGAGTGTGAATCTAAGTGAAGCCCTCTGAAAAAAAAACCTGACCTGGTTGTTAAGTGAAGTAGAGAAAAAAAAAATAAATAAATAAAAAGGTGGATCGTGTGTTATCATATGAACAGGCACATGGGAACATGGAGCCTGTCTTCCATTCTCCACACACTACTTACTGATCTCCTGTGAAAGGTGGTGAAACGTGAAATTCCAGCCACCACAGCGGCGAGCAGGGCGGGTTTCTGACACGCCATTCACCTCTTGATTAATTGCTTGGCGTTTTGTAAAACTTCATCAGCCCCTGACGCCCGATGCTTTTTGAAGCTTTTAGGGCTGGGTTCTCCAGGCACGAAGCAGCGGGAGGCTCCTTGGGGGTGTCCAGAGAGTGGGTCTGACCTGCAGCACCGCTGTTCCCCCTGTGTCCCTCGCACCCCCCGAACCCCCGCGGGGGAGAGGGCGACGAAGAGGAGGCCTCGCCGGAGCTGGTAGGTGGCCTGCATGGTGCAGGTGAGCCTTGGGAGAGGGCAGCAAGGGCGTTGCATTCACTGCAAGTCGCACAACACCAGCAAGAACGCCGAAAAGGAGTATTTCAGCAGAGTTTTGTGCAGTACTGTGGGTGCCGGTGATGTGACCCGGGCGGGCAGCTTTGCTGGAGGAGCATTCCCACGTTTCCATCGCTGCTGCCCTTCGGTGTGTTTGGGCTCCCTTCAGAGGCTCATCTGCAGTTGGTTTTAGGGGCACCGTTTCAGTCTGTCGCGTTGTGACCCACATAAAAAGCCAAAGGGCAGGAGACTGGCTCTCAGCAGCCCGTCCCGCTGCCATCACACCTTCCCCCCGCGGCTGCTCCACGTGGCATCCAGGGGACAGAAATGATTCTGTGCGTTTATTTCTCCAATCCCTTGCTGTATTATTGTAGCTGTTGAATATATTCATTGGGCTGAATGAATCCCCACCTGGCAGCATCCATGCCGCAGCATTTTCAGCTTAATTTATGGAGAAGGGAAGGGATAAAGAATACAAAAGGGAAATAATGCACAAGCCTACAGAGGCTTCAATGGTATCGGCAAGCTGTGAGCTGCTCAAGTGTAGGGCTGGAGCGAGTATCGGGAGCTTTTCATAAGTCAGCTGGGAAGATTTAAAGCCTTGGCTTTAAGGTGGCATTTTAAAAATAACTAAATGATGGAGTCTAGGTCAAAAGTTATCTGGGAGCCTTAATCCCACTGAAGTTAGAGGGAGTTTGGGTTCTAGGTGTGTTCTAGAAAGAGGATTTGGAATGAAAATCACACCAATTTTTATCGCTGTAAAGCCACAAACTCTTGATATTTATAGTATAATATTCACTGGGAAAATGGAATTTGTCAAAGGACAACTGCTGCATCAGGCTCAGAAATGGGCTGTTAAAGATGAGATGGAGTTTGTGTCTGGTCCCTGTGGAAGACTGGACTTGCAGCTTTTCCTTTATTACGAGGGAGGTATCATTGCTCATCAGTGAAAACCTCGTTAGAGCCATGCTCGCGGCTGCACTGAGGGGGGATTATTTGAGCAGCACAGCAGACAGCATCCACTGACCCGAGACAACCTGTGGATTATTCATTTTGCCACTCAGTGCCCATCCAGCGCTGCTGGGTGATGTCTCCGCAGGGAGCGGAGGCTCGGCTCTGCCAGGGCAGGACCTCGCTCCCCCTCGCCATCCCACACGTGGGCAGCCCCACGGCCCTGGCTGCTGAGGAGACATTCAGCTCTTGGTTACAATACATGTCCCTTTCTTCTGCAGCAGCTCTGGCTGGGAATGTCCTCACTCAGAGAGGTGTAGGGGGGTTATGTTTGGTAGAGGTGGACCAAGTGTGGGATTGCAGTGGGGTCACTGACAGGCATCCGTGTCCCCCCACCTTCTCCAGCCGGCGGGACAGAAGGGCTGGGAGCATGGTGGGCAGAAACCTCCCTTTTTGCAGCACTCAGAGTTGGGTGTAGATGAGAGGAGAGGCTCTGTGTGGGTTTGGTTATTAAAAATTCAGCAACAGAGGTTGATACCATAATGCTAAGCCTAGGTCCAACCATTGCTTAGACATGTACGCATAGGAAGAATTTTCCAATTCTCCCTTTCTCAGGGCAAATAAGTCACTACCTGTGTGTCACATCCCAAGCAAAAGCCAAGCCATCTGTCTGTAAGGATTAGCACTTTGGGGACTGAGATACAATACATCATAGAAGAAAATTTTTTTAATTATTTGGGAAATACTTAACTGACATGATACTCAAGTCAGACATGGCAGAGTGCACCAGGGCACAAGGTGGGATGGGAAATCCTGGAGCATCCACCATCGGCTCTCACAGAGGGACAGATCGTGAACATCCTGCTTGTGTCACAGCTAAAAGCGTGTCTCAAAGCCCGTTATCTGAGAAACCTTCCCAGGACCGTGGCAGGGTCTGGGTGGAGCTGTGGCAGGACTGGCAGCTGCTCTGCCTTCATCTCCTGCTGCCACAGCTTTTACCTGAGTGAAGGTAGATGCCATCACTTTCTACGGGAACAGAAAGCTCTGTCTTTGGCACTGCTGAAATACCCGACCCAAGCTGGGGCTCTGCTTTCATTTCTTTCCATCACCAGCTCCCCTCGTGTCTGATTTCCCCTGGTTCCTGCTGTCATGACAGCTCAGCAGTGTTGGCTCTTGGGGAGGATGTTCAGAGCTGCACTGACTTTATGGTCAGTAGAAAATGGTCCTTTCTTGGATGCTGTCGGGAGACCTTGGAAGCTGCAGATGGCCAGAAGCAGCACAGCAAACCCAACCTAGAAAAATGAGTGATTTTGAAAGTTGCATCAAATCCTTCCAACACTGGAGTTGCTGCTTGGGAAGTGGCACGTCTCTTCTGAAGCACAGGAAAGGTGAGCTACAGGCAGGAAAAATATTAAGCCAAAACTGCCCTTTTCTGCACAATGACTGAAGGATGGGGATCGCTGAAGAGGAAAGCAATGTCAGCGTCATGTGTCAGATGATTTATAGTTCTTACTGTAAAATATTTTACAGACCTCCATGGAGAAGAAAATATCAGGTCATTATATAGGTGCCAGCAGAGGTACAGCTGGGTGGGTGCTGCAGGAACATGATGGTGAATAGGAGGGGGGTGTAGGTAAAGACCAGCTACACACAGTCAGACCAAGTTTCGCCTGGTAGTAAGAGCTGGCCTGGGGGAAGGATGGAGAAAGAGTGAGACCCAGTCTGTTCCCTTGGTGTTCCTGCAGACTTTCCCAGATCGTGGCTGTGCTTTCCCATGCTGAGCAGGGCCAGCAGCTGATGTCTTCCCAAGGCCTCGCTGGGCTTGGTACCGAGCCGTGCTCCTCCGACTGGGTCGTGCTGCTTGCGCCTGGTCTCAAGCTGCTCCATGCCCTGTGTGGTTTGTCCTACCCTGTCTGTGGGACGTTTACCATCAAATCCTGGAATTGGCAATGAATCTTGCTAAAATCTGGGTGGTAGAAAGTTTAATATCTCTGATGAGGTATCAAAGCTTATTATGTACTTTAATATTCCTTACTATTAAACCCAACAAGCTACACGAAGCAAAGACCTTTCCTATGTGACGATGGGGCCAAACTTCTGCAGCTTCTCAGTGTCAAGCACCCTGGAGAGCTTGTGCACGAAGACACCACCACCATCGGCATCTGAGGAGCTGTGTCCCACAGGGCTTAAACAAAGCTGGATGGAGCAGCTGTTGTGTTTGGTAACAGGGTTTAACGGCAGCCACAAATGGCACTCAGGTTATTAAGATGTTTGCCTGAGGTGTGAATGGTACAGCCCTTCTCTGCTTTCTTTCTGGCATCGTTTTGGTACTTGGAGGCTTTGCAGTAAAGCTGGTTTCTAAGCAGGGAAGGGGGAATGCAATCTCCTGGATAACAAGGCGTCTGCTTCGTGCTAATAATTGTGTTTAATCACGCCGAGGGGACGGCGGTCTCGGCAGCCGTCGCGGGTACGTGCAGCCTGCCCAACATGTTGCTTGTCTGCAGCCTTCGGCGCTCAGAGACACCAACGGCGCTCAGGGGATTTCTTGCTTTCTCTCATTTATCACACTGAAAGTGTTCATAAAAACACTCCAGCTGCCAGTGCTGGTGAGAAGAGCTGTGCTGGCGGGGGAAGAGCTGCAGCAGGCTGCCCTGCCTCCACGGCACAGGTACCCAGGGCTCGCCTCTCCCTGCCATCAACGCGGGGGAGGTAGAAGAGTTTTAATTAGCTCTTGATGCTATTTTTTACCTCCCAGCACTGCTTAATTTAGCTCAAGCTGTCATGCACTGATCGTTAAGGGGAAAAGAAGAAAACGGGGGTGTTGGCCCATCTCTACTGAGCAGCTTGGCAGGAACAGCCTCATCTTCGGAAACCTGGGCTGGTAGCTGGGGCTTTTCTTAGACCTTCTGTAGCAGTAAAAGTTTATTGCCCAGAGAAATTTCATGCATTTACATTCATAATACACAGCTTCTGCAGGGCTTGCTCTGCATTGGTGGGTTCTGTTCATACCCACTTCAGTTTAAAACAACATAAATATCTTACAGAAAAGGTGCTTGAGATCTTCGGTCATGTTGTGACCTGCCTTGCTGCTGGAAGGACATGGAGACCTTGAAAAGCTGCCACTATGCTAGAAAGAGGCTTATTCTCCTCTTTTTAATATACAAGGCCATTGCAGGACTTTGTGCCACCTTAAATGACACATGGAAGTGAACAAGGACAAACTGTTAAAGATTTAATATTCCCCTAGACCAGACCAGCCTTGGTCCTGGTGTGAAGTGGATGTGGACACGGTGGGGTTGCCTTTGCTCATCCCCGCTGCTGGGTCTGCTCGAGCTCCCTCTGCACCAGCCAGGGTGAGCAGAGGGAAGCACTACACCGAAGCCAGAAGAGGGTCACTGGATCGTCAGGTTACTGCAGTTTATGTATTTAGGATATAGAGCACAACCTGTAATGTACAGTGGGCAGAGGTTAACGGGCAAGCACTGTTCTGCACAACACATAGCAACAAGATTTCTGCAGATCTTACAACAAAGTCCCCAGCTGGTTTGCTTTGCAGCACTAGATATTCCCCCTTTTATTCTGCTTTTGTAGCTCTTTGTAGGGTATCGAAACCAGCAGTTTGACTCATGTTCCTGACTGAGAGCACTCAGCCACACTGCAAGTAGGTGAATATTGTATGTCAGCTTTGCTGTGCAGAGGGTGAGAGGGCGTTGGGAAGGGCTCTGCAAAGGAAAGGGCTCACTTAAAGTGATGTAAACTTTAAGTGTATGTGTATATATATACATACAGTTTAGATGTGGAGAATTGGACTCGGGTGCGTGGGCAGTATTGGAAGCTCAGAGTTTTAGCTCCTATTTCCCTCTTGAGAAATGTACTTTGTGTAACTCTTTCCTGTACAGCCACAGGGTAGGAGCTGCCGGCGTGTGGATGTGGAGCCGTGCCAGACATCTGCTTGTCCCTGTGTCCCGGCCTCGTGAACCCCTCATGTGAGTTGGTCAGAGGCAGAGAGCCGAGGCTGTGCCCTCTCCTACGGTCCAGGATCTCTCCTCTGCCCGCTGCCAAAGCCACCCTGCTCCCAGCTCCTCCCAGAGCCATCCAGCAGCCGAAGCATCCCTCAAGGACCCTCCTCGTTGTGACACTCACCTCATAGTCAGTCTGCCAGAACCTACGCTTCCCACCTTCACAGCCAACATCGCAGGTTTTCTGCTTGCCAAAGTGTTGCTTCAGCCGGGGTTAAAAGAGGTAAGAGCCTTAAACACCAAGGAGAAAGGAGGCACATGGGCGGGATGTGTTTTATAAGAGGTTTTGGAGAGGATATTTGTGGATCCAGAAAAAAATATGTGAATGAGTACTAGCCATACGCACACATGGGCTGTGCCAACAGCATGTGAGCCAGGACTGGGGTACAAGGGGGGGCTGTTCAGTTATTTTATTTGTTGAAAGTGGCTGGCACCATCCAAAGCCATTAGTGTGGATGAGCTGGAGCAGAGCCATCGCCCCGGCGAGTGCAGTGGCACGGGCATGGCAGAGGCAGCCAGTTTGGGAAAGTGTCTGGTTAAAGGGCTGAGGTGGGGAAATAAATCTCAGTTGCTGCCCCTTTAACCTTGGGAATATCATTTGTTCTCCTCATATTTGGTTCTGGAGTTGAAGGTGGGTTCAGTTTATCAGTAACAACCATCCTTGCAAACCTGACCCAGGCAATAAGAGCAGGTTTTGAGCAGTCCACAGCAAAAAGGCTGATGCATGGCAAAGGAGAAAGGAGTGCAGCTGCGGGTGAGCCTCGGGGGTTTTCTAAGCAAGCTGTGGGTTCAACAGCAAAATACGGTACTATAATCTATAAAACATTTAATTTTCTCTTGCACTGCCATGAAAGGATTTTTGATCAAGCTTAAAAAAATAACTTGGACAAGAAATGAAACATGGGAAGTACTAAGGAAAAGGGGAGTTTCTCAGAAAAATTATGAAAGTCAAGTTTAAGAGAAGAATCCCAGCTAATCCCACTCATAAAACTAGTGGGGAACATTACAGTGTGTGGCAGTCACACATCATTTCTTCCAATTATTTTTCAGGTGTTCCTTGCGTCTGATGACAAGCAAAAAATTAATAGGTTTATGTTTGCTGTGGCTCAATCTAGTTCTGAATAACTCATAACCAGCCTTCTTTTTACATATTTTTTTAAAAACCCTGTCTGGAGAGCCTGTGAGCCCAGTGCACTTGACTGATTCAATGCTGCTGTTTCTATGCGGCTGTAAGGGCAGTGCTGCGTGCGGGGCTGGCCGTGCAGCACCGCTGTTAGCAGCCGAGGGGAAGCTTTTAAGTCCAGTATTGATCCTTTTGAAGTTTATGGCTGCTTATAGTTGCCGTTACTAGTGCTTGTTCAAACTGCCATGAGATGGACTGTTTCATTTCTTTGCATCAGGCTAAACTTCCTTCACATCAAAAAGATTTATTTCTGTACTTAATTTTTCCAATACATGATTTCTCTCTCAGAAATTGAGCTGACATTTCTGCATGACACTAATGCAGCTCTGTAATGTAAAGCTGCCTTATATATTTCTGTCTTCTCATGTACCACGTGAGGTGGCGGGTGCCAGCAGCCCAGGACAGGGCTCCCGGGAACCATGCGGACCATCTCCAACCCACATCCCCTTCGGCCATTTCCCTCTCAGCCTACCAGCCCAGGAGATACTGCTTTTCTCTGCAGCCATCCCTGTTCTCCTTCAGCAATTACACAGAAGGAGATCAGTTTTGTGTTTCTCCCCTGCCTGCAGCACACCTTTTCCAAGCTTCAGGGGGGACTGTTGCTTCCCAAGTGGCAATTCCAAAACTATCTTTCGCAATTTTCCAGGTCAGGTTTGTGGAGCTGCTTCTCCCCAGATGGAGCAGAGAGTACTGCCCACACCATCTCCACCTCTTCCTCTCTTCTGCTGAGCTGCATATGCCTGGTTGTGGCTAAAGTCATCTCACTGTGTGCTCCTCACGCCAGTAAAACCCTCTCTGCAAACCCATAGAGCATCAGGTCGTGTCAGCTGGACACAGGCTGCATCTTGCACAAGCTCTTTTAGGACTGAAGCATTTGCATCCTTCGGGTGCTCCATAAGGTCCATGGGAACTGCTATGCCATTTTGCGACCAACTTTCTATTCTGTTGTGGTTATTAATGACCAAATTAGGCTTTTCTGGAGTTGCCCACGAGGGAGCCTGGGTGATGTTGTTGTGGTCTAAAGGAGGGTGAAATGAGGCGATGGCTTCGGCCAGCCCCCCCGGCACAGTCCTGCTGCCTGAGCACTGCTGGATCTGGAAAGTTTAGTTCTGAAAGAGCCACTCACCTTGACCTATTTATTTTTGCCCACATTCATGGCCTGCGTTGTGTCCTGAGGAAGAGGTCCTGCTGCTTGAAGGCCCTTTATTTTTAGCCAGCCCAATTTTCTTGTCGCAGCTTAGCGAGAGCTGGTCCTTTCAGTTCAGCTCCATCACAGCTCATGCTCTCCTGCGTTTGCCAGCTCTTACCCAGGTCCCTGATGTTCTTTGTACATTGATCACTCACTCAGTGGGTTTCCTATCCCCCTTCCCCCAGGCTTCATTTCTTCTTTATGTTCTGCTCAGCCTCTATCACTGCTCCAGGTCCATGGCTTAACCTCTGATTTCCCTCTGCCCTAGGCTTGCACCAGGGACCAGGCTTTCACAACCACAGAGGCAAGTTGCCAGGCTTTTCCTGGATCCCAGCACCCCTCCACAAACAAAACCTTCCCTCTTGTCTGCTCTGATAAACTTGGCAGTGCTTCCCCTCCTCACAAATGTCAGGAAATTGGAAATGATGCACTAGCCGCATAAAAATCAATAGCCACCTCCTTGGCCTGGCTTGGCCCTGCTCTTTCTACCTTTACACAGGGCAGGAGGGAGTGTTGTTCTCCACTGAACTCAGAGCAGTGATTTACTGACATGACCCATCCTGACCAGGCAGTTGACCAGCAATATATTTGTTTTTCTCAGCCCACCCACGTAGCCCAGAGCAGTGGCTTGTGCTTAGCATTAGGTCACAGAGGTGTGGACTCAGAAACCTGGACCAGAATAATATTTTCTTTTTGTGACCATACAGCAAGAAGTAAGGACTTCAAGTCCTGGGTGAACTGCTTTGGGAACAACGCCAATATCATTTCATTTTCTGAAGGGGTTGGTCCCAGCAAGGGCCATGTGCAATTCCCATCAGAAGCTATGGCTCCAAAATAAAAAAGAAATTAATTATGAGGACTGCAGATTACATTGCAGACTGCTTTTATTATTCCCTGGACTACTACCAGAAAGCATAGTGTGATTGAAGGAGCAGGAACAGTTCTAAGGTCCTATTTCTTGGAAATCTTTGGGCTATATTCATTTAATTTAAAATACAGCTACTGTTGGAAATCAAACAGCATCATCTTTTCAGCTGTAGGAAGCATAACACAATTCGTAAAGGTTACTGGGGACTAAATCCTTGCTGAAAATCAAACCAGCTCCTATTTGTGTCCTTGAAAAATCTTTCTCTTGGGAGCCCTGATAATTCTCCAAGCGCTGGACACGGGGGAAGGTTTGTTCCAAGCAGCTGCTCTGCACTATCCCTGCCGCCCGTCCCCCACCACATTGGGCTCGATTTGATGTGCCAGCAAGGCAGTAATAGGGATCACTCTCTAATGCATCCGTGATTACATGGAAATTGAAGTGTGAGAGAGAAAAGAAATGAGGCAATTGAGAGGCATGACTCTGACGCCCGACCCCTCTCGCTGCTGCTAGCGTCACCCCAATGATCAATATAAATGGTGCCAAATGGGTATATTTTCCAGTGCCTGGTGCTGATGGACAACAAATCACAGGAAATACTTAGCTATTTCCCTCTGAATGGCTTTATCTGGACCTTCCCATACTCCCTACTTTGATTTTTGGCTCATTATTAATGAAAAATATGCCGGGATGACAGTTGTTGATGATATATGAGCCAAGATTAGATTCCAGCTCCTTTTACCATTTTGGCACCAAAATGCCAAAAGGGATGAGACACCCTGTAGTAACCCCTCTTCATTTTGAGGCAACAGCTAAAAAATACGGCTCTGACTGAGTTAGGGAGAAGAACGGATGAGCCAGAGGAGCTGTTCTTTGCCTGGTCATGTTGCTGGACCAAATGGGATCTATGAAGAGACGGGAAATGGTAGATTCCCTGGGAAATGGCATATTCTCATCCAGTGAAGGGGTAAAGTGGTGTCCTAACATCTACAGGTCTGTGTTGGTCTCTCCCCTTGACAGGAAGGTTGTCCTCAGGCTATCAAGGTGCAGGGCTACCTTTGCAGGACATGCTTTTCTGTCCCAGAGCTACCAGTTTCTTCTTTAGCTGCTGCCTCCTAATTCCTCAGGAGAAAAAATATGAGTGTCTCCTCTGCGCATCTCACTCGTCGCACCCGTAGCAGGGAGGTGTCCCTCCTGGGAACACAGCCTGCTTTTCTTGAGCTGAGGGAAACGTTAGATAAGAACATTAAAAATGAGGCTTGCTAGCAAAGCCAAAGGTGGAAAGCTTGCAGTAGCATGAGCTGAAGCATTTGCTTGGGCTGTCTGTAAGTGACAGCACTCCCCTTCCCGTAGGTCGGTACCTTCTGGGAAACGGCTCAGTGTGAACGTAGGAAGAGCCAAATCCTTGATTTCATATGGAAGAGAATTGTCAGAGCTGTTGCAGTGCTTGAGGGTGCAAGTACATCTGCTTCCTACCAAGATGTACTTGCCTGCTTTGGACTCAGGGTAGGATGCGATAATAAAAGTCTTTTTCCCTTTCTCTCTTTTGCTCAAGAATTTGCAACTCTTCCAGCAGCAGTCCCTGCTTTTCTCTCTTATTTCTGCCCAGAGCAGCAAGCTGGAGGTGCACACAGGCCTTGGGTGTTGCATCTGTTCAGTAAATGCAGTTATTTGGACTCCACATTAACTACAAGTTTCCTTCACATGAGTCTTGTATGAAACTTGCTGCAGGATCAGCCCGGGACCGGGCTGCCGGGGAGCTTGGTGCGGTGCATTTGTGCTATAGATGTGCTGGGATGGGCACTGCAAGAGCACTGAGCTCCCTGAGAGAGCACAGCTCACAGACGGTTCAGCAGCAAGAAATAATTATCAGCAGCATCATCTGCTGGTATTAATCATGAGGAAACTACAGCAGAACGTTATCTTTGGAGGCTTTCGAGTGTAAAAGTGCAAGCTATGAGGAATTTTGGCACCTTTGAGAGTCACTGTAAGCAAGGAAGCATTAATGTATTTACATCAGAGGTGCAAGAAAATAAGCCCTCCTCTGGTCTGCTCGCCAGCCAGGCATGTCAGAACAACGAGCTGTCCTCTCCCAGCCCAGGCAGGAGCCACATCTCCCGAGTTAATCACTAAATCCCACCACCTTCATCACAGTGATAACACCAGCAAGAATTCTGTTCACCAGCGCGTGCCGCGATAGCAAACACCAGCGGGGAGTACAGGCGTGATGGAGCTATTCCTGCGTAGGTTCGAAAGGCGACACGGGGGGAGACGTAAAACATACGTGCCCTGGCTCTATTGTTTATCCATCATTATTTTGGGAACTGATGTTTCAAATGAAATGTGTGTTTAGGAGGGCTCTGCCCTCCTTCCCAGGCAGTGGGATGAGCGGGGGAAGGCTGGGCTCTGCCCCCAGCCCTCTCCCATTTGTTGTCCCTTGAAACTTCACACGGTGCGAACGAGGCTCGTGCAATTTTAAAGGGAGCCCAAGGAAGATGCATCCCACTGCTACCGAGTTGAATTTGGTAGATTCTGTTGTCTAGCTGGATTTATATTGGTTTTGTCCCTTATTGTTTGCAGTGCCGAACAACAGCAAAATGTGCCTTGGAAAATATACATGACACGGCACTTATCTGTGATTCATGCTGGCTTTACAAAAGCAGTCAATAGCGCTGTCTGCCTCATTCCTACTCCCTAGAAGACCACCTCACATGCATATCTTTTCCTTCTTGCTCTTATTCCTCTAATCTTTAATTTCTGTGCCTTCCCCCTCCCCCCCCCCCCCCCCCCCCAATATTAATTGCACTATTTCTCTGCTGCACCAAGAAGTCTGATTTCTGATTTATCAGTCTGCAGGGCACTGTGAGAACTGCTCAATTCCCAGATTAGCTAAAATAAAATAAAATAAAATAAAATAAAATAAAATAAAATAAAATAAAATAAAATAAAATAAAATAAAATAAAAAAGATTCCATCCATAAATAACATGGGGGTGAGGGAAGATTTTTCCACCTCCTTTAATGTTTGCTCAGGGCCTGACTGCAGTGCTCTGGTCCCATTCCCAGCCCTGCCCTAAAGTACAAGCTGAGTTTGGACCAGTTCAGTCTGTGAGTTCAGCTGACACTGGCACTGGCAGCTTTGATCAAGCAAAATAAATAATAAAAGGCAAAAAAAGGCAAGCTATTGCATCGCATAGCTCTGCTTTGAGGTGTTTAATGATGTCATTCAGCATGCATAAATGTAGCTTGGTTTCTGCAGAATCAGATTCTCGATCTCCCAGTGGGTAAATCTACCCTGAAAGAGGAAAAATAGCAATACTGGAGGGGGCCGTGGTGGTGACTGGAGGTGCTTGGGAGGAGGTTTTGGTCCAGCAGCCAGAAGTATCTTTGTTGATCCATTAACGTGGTGTCCATGAGGCTCAATGGGCTCCTGCGCTGAGGAGATACAGCTCATGCTGCCGCCCTTCGTCGGAGCGTTCCATAAGGCTTCGAGGACGGCAGATCCTGCAGATCAGCGACATCCTTGGGGAGACGAGCTCCGGCTTCGGCTGGAGCAGCAGGAACTCACCTGCAGCAAACAAAACAGGAGCTGATGAGCTGCTCCTGCCCAGCCCATCCCACCCCGGTGCCGGCACCCGGCGCTCAGCACGTCCACGAGCCCTGGGCTGGTGCCGGGCAGCAGTCGGGTGGGATTTGGTTCAAACTCTCCATCTGTCAGAGCCCGCTGTGATTGTTTTAATGGCTTCTTTCAGCTCGACCGATGTAAGCCATTAAGGGCAGAGGGCAAAGCTTTGATATGTCCATACCCCCCCCCAAAAGCAGTAGACGGCTCCGTGCTGACGGCTGTGTCCCCTCTCCCGGCAGCCGTCCCCCCCCCCCCCCCGCCGCCCCGGCCCCCCGTGCCGTCGGGAATGAGCGCCTGCGGCAGGAAGGCGCTGACCCTGCTCAGCAGCGTGTTCGCCGTCTGCGGCCTCGGCCTCCTGGGCATCTCCGTCAGCACCGACTACTGGCTCTACCTGGAGGAGGGCATCGTCCAGCCCCAAAACCAGACGGCGGAAATCAAACTGTCGCTGCACTCCGGGCTCTGGAGGGTCTGCTTCCTGGCAGGTATGGCCTCCCCCCAAAAAAACATCCCCCGTTAAGGTAACGTTGTTCTGCGGGTCAGCACCAAAGCACAGGAAAAGGCTGGGGAAAAATAGGATTTTTAGAGGCTGCGACCATCTTTGCTTCCAAACTTAAGCACAACCTGAGTAACGCCATCACCCCATTCTCAGCTTTAATAGTCGGATGGATAAATGTGCCTTTGAATGCAGGTTTTAGGTGAGCTCACTGGTGCTGTGCCAGACCTCGCTGCCCTCCGTCCTGCCCCATCCCAGTGCCACAGCCAGAGCGCCTTGGGCAGCAGCTCAAAACTTTCCTTTTTGTCCCTGCAACATTTAGATTCAGGTCAGCTGGACCGTTCCCTCCATCCACGCCAAGTTTGATGAAGCAACTTGGCCGCAGGGACAGAGTTGAATAAAACCCAAGGGAATGGGAATCTCAATGTGACCGATCTGAAATGTCACAAAGTTTCAACCACTGCTTTGAAAAAGTCAGGGGAGCGAGGAGCAATGATACCGCCCCCGGGGTGGCCTTAAACTCTCTGGCTTCAGCGTTCATGCTTTTGTATACAAGGGAATCCTTTTGTACAAGGGAGATGGTAGTTAAGAAACGTCTGACTTCAGCCCCAAACACTGACATATAAGATGGAAGCAGCACTAAAAAGCAAGATTGTTTTTATGCATGCACAGGAATTCATTTTAAAGCCACTCTCCCCCATCAAAAATAAAGAGGCAAACACATTGCAGGTGTGACAGTCTCTGTTTGCTGCAGGTGAAGAGCGTGGCCGATGCTTCACTATCGAATACGTCATGCCCATGAATATTCAGCTGACGTCTGAATCCACAGTCAACGTCCTGAGTAAGTGGTTCGGTGGGGTCTTACTCTTTGCATTCTGCAAAGCACCAAAGGGTCACTAGGGATCCCACCGAGAAATCCTCTTTGTGTCCTTGCCAAAGAAGCTCCTAGTTCCTTGACAGTGCTACCATGTGAGGATGCAACTACATTTTTTACTATGTGAATTACCCAATATGCTCCTAAGCGTTTGGGGACATCCCTTTCTAATGGCAGGATGCTCACAGAGGCTCTAAGCCATATGATTTCCTGTCACTGGCTATTCAGTGCTGATGTTTGTGGAAGTGTTTGGCTTTATAGTCTCCTCTCCGTAATTTGCAGCTGTATTTATTCTGTAGCAATTTTACACATTACATAGTGGGATAAATTAAGGATGGAGTGTCGCAGCTCTCATGATGAATTCTACAGTCATTTCTGATTTAATAAGTAGAAGTGTTCAGCAAACGGTTTTGCAGCAAAGCCAGAGAAAAATGCAAGTTCAGATGCTTTTTCCCTATGTAACACTTCACATAGAAACCCTCAGGAATACAAACATTAACAGACATTTCCACAGCCAGCCAGAGTCACCTCTTCACTCAGCTCATTAGCAAAGAGGGGAACCCTTGCCAGGGACTGAGGAGCAGCACAGGGGCACCCACATTAACCAGGAGCGAGGAAGGACACAACGTGGTCGGAGAGAGGCAGGACTGGAGCCATCTCACCCAGCCAAGCCCGTTTCTCATGTTGCGTGGGGAGGATTGACCTGTTCTTGCTTTCCTCTGCTCCTCTGCCCCCAGAGATGATCCGCTCTGCCACTCCCTTCCCCCTGGTCAGCCTCTTCTTCATGTTCATTGGCTTCATCCTGAGCAACATTGGCCACATTCGGCCTCACAGGACCATCCTCGCCTTTGTCTCAGGGATATTCTTCATCCTGTCGGGTGAGTGTTGCTAACCAGATTTTTTCCTGAAAATCCTTGCACCTGGAGCACATTTGCTTTAGTAGCTGCTGGTACTCTCCTAACCCGCTGTGGTGGCTCCTCATTGGAGACATCACCCGCGGGGACTCCCAGCTCAGCCCTGCAGCCTGCTCAGGCTTTACAGGATGGAAAATCACCGGGTGCAAGACTTGTCTGTGGCAGTGGCGAGGAGATGCGGGGGAAAGCACCCACCACCCGTGCAGGAGAAGCTGCTGGGGGAGAGGATGCCTCTCACAGCACGTCGGTCACAGGAGAGATGTGAAACTTCAAACCACTCAGCTGAGATGTTTCTACATGAGACAAGGGAATGTTTTATTCATGGTGTTGTGCTAGTGTTAAACAAATAGCTGTGACAGCTGAGCTTTGAAGCCAGCTCCTACTCGGTGCACATGGACTTGCTTGAGCAGGTAACAGTTTGACTGAAATGAGAGGAGTGCCCTGGGTTAGCAGCCTCTTTCCCTAGTTATTTCAAGCACACTTCCACAGTTTTACAGTTTCACCCACAAGTCAGGTCTTAAAGGAAGGTGCTTCTTCAGAAGCTCCATCCCTGAAGCGTTTCCCACTGTCCTTCTCCTTGGTTTCTCCCCAGGTCTGTCGCTCGTGGTGGGGCTAGTCCTCTACATATCCAGCATTAACGACGAGATGTTGAACAGGACCAAGGATTCGGAAACATTCTTCAATTACAAATATGGATGGTCATTTGCCTTCTCTGCCATCTCGTTCCTTCTCACAGAGGTACCCAGGAGCTCTCGCATCCCTGTAATGAGTATATCCTGTTCTCAGGGAGGGCATTGAGGCTGTGAGCAAAAAGAGGGCTCGGACGGGGTTTAAGGGTAGGCTATGAGGGCTGACAGGTAATATAGAGTATGGTGGGAGACAGACCATCAAAGCCTGCAGCATGGGGCGTTTGATCACTGTTTGATGCCAAGCGTGGATGCAGAGGAGGAGGAGAGGTGGTGATGGCATGTTATTTACTGCAGGGACCTGGGGCGCAGGGCAGTGAAGTGACTGTCCTTGGGATCCCTCGTGCCTCGTCAGCGGAGCACAAAAAGCCATTTATATTTTTGTTCTGTTTTGGCGGTGGTGGAGAAGGCAGCCATTAGCAGGGTGAGCATCAGGCCGTGTCTCTCTCCCCTGCAGAGCGCCGGGGTGATGTCCGTTTACCTGTTCATGAAGCGATACACGGCCGAGGACATCTACCGACCTCACCCCGGGTTCTACCGTCCCCGTCTGAGCAACTGCTCCGACTACTCGGGGCAGTTCTTGCACCCGGACGCGTGGGCGCGGGGACGCAGCCCTTCGGATATCTCCAGCGAGGCGTCCCTGCAGATGAACAGTAACTACCCGGCTCTGCTCAAGTGCCCCGACTACGACCAGATGTCCTCGTCCCCGTGCTGAGCCCCGCCACCCCTCCGCCCGCTCCCAGCCACGTGCCGGCGGTCGCCGCATCCTGACTCCGTTTGTCATTTACTTTTTAGGCCACTCTTTCAGGGCAATTCTCTATTTATAGGAGCGTAAATATAACCAGATAGATTGGTTATATAACCAATAATGTAACCTAGAGAATTGGGATATCTTCCTTTCTTTTTTTTTTTTTTTTTTCTTTTTTTCTCTTTTCTTTTTTTATTCTTCCCTGTGTAACTAAAAATCTCTCCGAAGTCATCTTCTTTCAGCTCATCCTGCTGAGCAAACAGCAGTTCTGCCTGGGGGACAAATCCAGGGCTGGACTCAAGAGCAGAAAAAAGAAAACAGAGTAGAATTAAGGAAAAAAAAATGTGTATTTTTTTGATTTAGGTAGGCTGCAAAAGTTTGTGCATTTGACTGTATCATATAATTATAGATTTACTGGCCTAACCACCAGCAGGCATCAAAAAATGTGTAAATTTCCAAGAAATAGTCATCATTAGAAAAATATAAATTTTGTCTTGATTCAGTATTTACTGATTGATATCTCTCATTGCTGGATATCACTTTTAAGCAGGCTGTAAAGGGAAATAGCCATCTTTTTCTCAACTGTACCTCAGCAGGCTTAGATGCAAGCAGGTTGTTGTTTCTCTATGGCCACTTGCAAACTGTTGCTTAACTATCCCATGTTAGACTGGAGGCACTACGGCCCTGGGGGGTCCCGGCTGTTGGGCTGGCTCAGGCACACACATTTCCTCCACCATCCCATAGACTGGAGGTCTGAAGAGCAACTGGGAGAATTTCAGTGCAGCACTGAGTGGAAAACTACCCAAAAGCTTCCCGTAGGAAACATTAGGCGCAGGATTTAGGGGAAATTATGGCCAGAAGTGCAAGTGAAAGGCAAGATCCCAAACCAGTGTAAAGTGATGTAGCTGAAATTAATGGCACTAGTCCACTGTAGCAAATTAGATAGGCTTATATTTAATTTTGGCAAGAAAACGGTATTTTAGCTGTGCTTTTTTTGTGTGTATGAGCCTTATTTTGCGGTTTTCAGTTTTAAAATTTCATATGATGCTTTGGCATTTTGGTCTTAGACAGCTGCCAGGGTGAGAGCATCACTCTGATTGAAAACGAAGTTCAGAGAAGGAAAAGGCTGTGCTCTCTCATGCACTCCTGTGCAAGCTGCGAGCTTGTCTCCTTGGAGGAGAAAGAGCTTTGTCCAAACTTTATTTCTATTCTTGTTATTTTAAATCTTTTTTGAAATTTTCCTTTCTGTAAAACAAAACCTTCCAGGGATTCTTGGTATATTTGAGCTTGTTTTGTCTTACTGTAATTGAAACAAATAGAATATACATACTTTTAACCTCATTTGTAGCATACTGTGTAATGAATGTTGCACCTCTTTGTTATTTTATTATTTATTATTTGTTATTTTACTATTGATTATTTATAAACTACTCCAAAATAGGGTCCAAGTCCTGGTGCAGCACCACTGTTTGCATTGACTCTGACGCCCGTCCTGTGGGACCTCACTGCAAGCGTATACATCCAGCCAACCCTTGAACAGGATGATTTCCTCTCCAGCCTCTTCAGATAAGCAAGTAACATATCTCTAGCATCACTGACTCCAAATTTGCTAAGTTTTAAACCAGGGCGTCTTTTTGTAGACACAGTGGTATTTACCCTTAGTTTTTGTATTACCCTCAAGTGTCCATTTTCTCATTTTAAAACCCAGTTTGTAAGTGCTACACAACAGGTTTGCTGCTGGGAAGGTTCAAGCATTAAAGCACAACCCAGCCCCACCATCCAGCAACAAAGCTTACTGTCCTCATCTGTTCACCCCAGCCAGATAAACCATCAATTTTCTGCTTGGAACATTATTTTTGGTGTGAAATAGGCTCCAAGAAAGCGCTGGAGTTCAGAAGCGATGATCTTACATTTGTAGAGCCCAGTCCAGTTTGCTGGGCTTGATGTTAGTAGTTTCTGGTGGCTCAAAGACAGTTGCCTTTGTATCTTCCCCTTTGTGGATCCTTTATATTCTCGGCCTGTCTTCTTGGAAGGGAAACCTTCAGGATCACCAAAACTGCTTATGCTCAGAGGTGCAAGGGCTGGCCCACACAGCTACATCCCCCCACGCTGGGGAGTCATTTAGTGTGGTTAATCCCGTGCAGCATCGTGAGACATCCCTGTCCCCAAGTGGAATATTCCTTTGTACTGATTAAATACAGAATTATTCATTTTATAAATTGGCTGCCTACATGAGCAGAAGACATGAAAAATACTTCACGCCTTCCTCAAGGCCCCAGAAGCTTTAGCAGAGTCTAGGGGCAAATTGAAAAAGTAATTATTTTAATTCATTGGGGAAATTGTCATCATGTGGCTGCGTTTGTGAGCACAGGAGCTCGCATGTTCACCCAGTGAGCACAAGCCCTTCATAAGTGCAGGACTGATGAAGGAAATCTGTCAAAATAAGTGTTTGCTGTTGGTTTAGTAAAATGCTGGTTTTGAGCAGGAAAATGTGGTGCTCAGTAAAGCATGGGCAACAAGGATTGTGCTGCCAGGTGGTGTTGCTGTCCCTCTAACAATGCCCAGAATGTCAGCAGCTCTTGCCATAGATGGCTGAGGTCATCTAAATGCAAGTACCACCCCTTCACTGACTGCAGAGAAACTTCTCCAGAGCCTCTGAGGCATGGAGACATGAGCATGGTGTGAGCAAGGTAGTGGGGTGAGCTGTGGAGACCTTCTCCCCCGAGCATCACCAATCATCAGCATCAGTAAGTAAATGTAGTACCCCCTTAGGGCACCTACTCACCATTTAAATACCTCTCCTAGTCATCTGGCATGGTTTCACCCCACCTTAATCTCTGCTATGCCACATCCTTCCCTCCTTGAATAACACCACTCAGTTGCCTCCTTTGGTCTCTCTCCCACCCCTGTGTCAGTGCTGGCCTCCTGTTGTGTTCTTTCTGTGTCTGTTGCTTGGATTGCAACAAATTAAAAGTGGAGTCTGAGGATAAACCAGCAATTAAATTAGACTTTTAACCCCTATGAGACTGAAGTCCTCAAATTCACCTGATGGGACGAGTCAAGACGCTCACAGGCCCGTAGGAAGGTAATTGCTTGTCTGACACTTTGCAGAAAACTGTTTGCACTTAAAAGCAAAAAAAGAAAAATCTCTTGTTTTGCATGAATGACTAACTGGTGTCAGACTCTTTGTGCAGGTGGCTGTATCTGCTTGAACTATAGTGTTAGAGCAAATTACTGGGATTAAGATTTAAATAAAAACCTGATGCTGCCTGAGCTCACTGCTCAGGACTGCAGTGAACTGAAGCAGAAAACTGTCCCTGCCATCAGCCTCCCACGCAGCACACATGTCCCCCCCACAGCCTGGGTGCTCCCGGAGTTTAGGGCACCAGGAGGGATGGGCACTAACTGAAGAAACCACACGTGGGAGGCGAGCGAGCCCCCAGCACTCACAGCTTGGGGGAGCCTGGTTGGAAAGACGGGGGTGCTCAGATCTTTTCAGGGAACTCCTGGGAGCCACCCTCCCACAGTGTGTTTGGGGTTTTTAAAATCAAATCCCTTTTCTATAAGCCCAGAGAGGCATTTTGTGGCCTGTCTCCTGAGCCATGAAAGCTCCTCTCTGCCAGCATCTCCCCTACCACCCCCAGAGTCCCCTTACCTCATGTTATTCTCATGGCCCCAGGTGTGACAGGGTCCATTTCCCCATTAGTTAGGAATGTCCTGGAAGCCCTTATTGAATCATGAGGTATGGATGCAAGGGGCTCATTAGAGACCAATCATGAGCAGTAATTAAGTAGCCAGGAATAATAAGGCTGTGCTGGGTCATGTTCTCCCTCAGTTAGTGCTGGAGCAGCTTGTGGCTCCAGAGCCCTTTCTTGCGCAGTGGAAAAAAAAAAAAAAAAAATTCATTATATATATATATATATATCTACACATAGGTGTAGTTGAAATGTTGGCCAGTGCTGCTCCCCTTACACCTATATCACAAGGAGCCACTGGGAAGGTTACGGTGAGGCAAGACCCCCTGCCAGACAGTAGCCCCCTCTCAGTAGGGATGAGGACCAAGAGCACTGCTGAACTGTTTCAGCTGCTGATGAAGATGCTGCTGTGGTGAGGTGAGGTTTGGGTGGGTGTTTTGGGGCAACCTGGTCCTGCTCTTGCCCAGGAGGATGGCATGGAGCTGTTGCTTAGGTGGGCAGGGTGAGAGCAAACCCCTACAGCTAGGGAAGCCTCAGATGAACCTTGCTGTTGCCTCCCCTGGACCCAAAACCGAAGACCTGTGCCCTTTCATCAGCTTCAAGCAGACAAGACCCAAAAGTATTTTATTAGGGTGGGTTTCACCCGCATATCACTGTGGCATGGTAGAGAGCTGACTCAAGCACGGTGTATGCAGTTTGGGGGTTTCTAGTACACAGTGCTCTGCTTGCAAGTCCTTGTGTTGCATTATTAATATTATTTGTCAGGCTTGTGTATTCATTTTCCCAAATGCGAGTTAGCCCCATGGGCTATTCAAGGTGTGCTAAGAAATTAAATAATCTTATTCTTCCCTGCTGATAGCTTGTTAGCTGTACAGAACTGGCATGTTTGTGGTGGGAATGCTGTGTGAAGAGGCAAAATATTCACCCAAGTAAATACTCCTCCACTAATGAGAAGTAGCTGAGAGATATTTATTTTCTTCTTCTTCCTTATGATGTTTATTTATTTACTTCCCATTTTTTTCCCACTGCAAAAGATTGACATTCACACCTAACTAGGAAAATTAGTATTTTCCCTCCTTGTTTTTCTTGTCCAGTTTTAGGGCCACCTGGAGAGGTCTCCTTCTCCCTGCTACAGCATCCCTTGCTGCACGGGCTGGGTTGCTCTGCCAGTTCTCCCTCCTTGAGAACCACATCAGCTCTTTAACTTTTCTTTCTGCAAATTGGTTGCACCACAGCTGTCCTGTACACATTAAAGCTGTGACTCCTGGGGTGGGGAACAGGGTGTCCCCAGCATCCCGGCTGCTCAGTGGGTGCCACCCTCCAAGCCCTGCCATGGCCAGGATGTTCAACTGACCTTTCCTCCATGCACTGCAGGGTTTCTGCCTATTGCTGTTGTGTAGATAGCAAATTGCAATCTGTTCCCATGGATACAGTAGATTATAGAAAGGGAAGAGCTGCCTCTTTGCTTTATCTTCATGTAAATTTTTATATACCTTAGATTCTGGATTATGGAGACCTCAGTGGGCGGTGGTTATAATGGGCAGTCAATAGCTGCAGCGATTATTGTGTATCTTCAATTGTAAACCAGCCCCCCCACCCAGGTGTAACCCTTGAAAGGAAAAGAGGGCACAGGGCTGCCCACTGCCTGGCCCTCCCCACAGCTGCAGAATGTGTGATTAGCAAAACAAGCCCCCAGGTGACACCGCTTTCAGTGACGGGCACTGCAGCGCTGAGTATTGTGCCCCCATGCCCCTGGGGGTGACACAAGGAAGGGCCTTTCGCCAGCCAGTCACCCTGGCTTGTGCCACAAACGATTCCAGTGAAAATAGAGATGGATGAAGAGGAGATGACGTTGTCAGCATTGCTGTCCTGTAGCCCGGTGCCCAGCACTGCAGCAGCTGCGGTCGGCATGTAGGATCACTGTGCCAACATCCTTCTTGCTTTCACACCACTTCATCTTTGAGTCTCTGGCCAATTTTAACTTAGTAAACTTTGTAGGGGAAAGATTCTTTTTTATTATTATTGCAATTTGCAACCCTGGAAAGCAGTATTTCAACCAAAAGATTAGCCCCACTCGACTGTGTTGCCAGACTCCTATCCCAAGGGCTGTATTTGAGGAATACATTTGCTCTAACTGGATGTTTTCAAGTCCTGAGCATTTTGTACTGTGGTGTTCTGCAGGCTCTGTCTGGCATTTTTAATCAAACCATCTCAGAAATCCCCAAGCCTCACCCCTCTCTGTTTCCAGTGAAAGGAGAAGTATTCACACACAAATTGTGATTAATATGCCTTGAAAATATGCAGCACCAGCATTCAAGGTTATTCCCCAATAAGCCATCATTTTTGTCATCGGCTCCCGATAAATCTTCTGGCTGTGATGAGATGCAGCTGTTTTTAATCTTTAATGTTAGGGCAGTGTGAATTCATTTTTCTAAGAGGAAAAGCCACGTGTGAGTCGGGTGCAGAGAAGGTGTTTGATGACTTGGGCCCATTCAGATCTGCAGCTGCTTAAACGGAGGCTGATACAGCTCAGGCTGCTCCAAGGGCTGTGTGAGCCACGTGTTGGAGTTCTGTTTAAATCCCTTCATTTGGAACAAAGTCCATATTACCTGAATTAGTCCCAACTGCCATCAAGCACCTGTAAATCTGCATGTAGACAAATCCCCAGACCTGAGATTCATCTTTCTGTTGCTAACCAACAAAGTGTGTAGGCACATGTTGAAATCTCTTGGACTCCAGTAGGATCTATATCAGAGCCAAAATTAAACCCAAGAGAAGCTCTGCTGAGCAAGAGCTGGTTTTGTGGGCATGTTTAAAAGCGCCTGTTAGTGAGCTTCAGTGATAGAGGAGCTGGAAGGCACAGAAGAGGAGATAGTAAAAAGACATGACCAGAAATTTCTTATTTTCCCATAGTGATAACACCTTTAATGAGGTGCATGTTCACGAAAATATAACCCTGAGGTTCTCGTAACTGCCTGGCATCTTGACACACGCCAGCTTCCCACTGCAACTTCAGGAGGAAAATCTGCCGAGAAAGCTGAAAGGTGTCATTTAATTAATAACAGCTAATTTGAATAAGTACTGAAATGTCACTCAGCTTCTCTGGAGGTGAGCTTGGTGATTTCACCTCCATGGGGAAATGGGACACTTCTGAAGCCAGAGGACACTATCAGTGTCATGCACACAAGCAAGGAGAGCAGTACCTCAAGTCTCGGCGTGCTGTCATGCCAGCACAGGTCAGGTCCCGCTCACTTCTTTATATTTTATAAGGAAATCTATGGTATTTAGGTTTAGCATAACTAGGTGCTGTGTGGGCCTTGATGCTGGTTTAATCTGTCTCCAGCTCAGCTCATCAAAGGCTGCTGTGAGTGAGGGACAAGTGAGGCATCCCATGGCACTTGCCGAGGCTGCATCATGCCCAGCCAACATCTTCCACTGAAATAACACAGCTTTTAAAGATGCCTTGCTTCAATACTAGACAAGTTCAAGTATCTGAGTGAAAGCTCTTATTTACCCTTGAAAAGCAAATTGGTTTTTATTTTAGCAGGAATTACAGGCTCTGTTTCTTGGGAGAGTATCCGCAGTTCCTGCTGTGCTTAACGAACTTCGGAATGACCTGTATTTGCCCAGGACAATAGGATTATATATTATTTAGTATTATTATTCATAATTCAGATAAACAGAAAAGGTCTCTCTAGCAGTGCAGAACACATACATATAAAATCCCCGCCAAATTATTTATTTCCATATAAATTATGTACTGTCAAAATTGCACTGCTGATCTGAAGGTTAAAGGCTGCATCACAGAAATGTAGCAACGCCCATTCATTTCAATCAGAATGTGATTATTTACATAAAAAAGCATCCTGGTGGTTGTGGATTTCCTACTGCTCTGCTTCAGCAGCTCTGTCTGACTTAGAATAGTTGAAACAAATGAAATAAAAATACAAACCTACGGTTGCTTTATCTTTCCATAAAAAGTAGGTCATATCCCCAATTGAGCTGTATTTTATTCATGTAAATAAATTTTTGCAATTAAAAATGCAACAAAAACTACATCCATGTCAACAGAGCTGAGCCTGGTGAAACTGGGTTTGGGCTGATGCCCGGGTCTGCTCGGGGCAAAGCCCCGCTGCCGGGCGGGCAGGTCCCGCGGCCTCAAACCCCCAGCTTGGGAGGAGGAAAGCTGAGCGAAGCAGGAGAGGAGTGAAAGCGCTTAGAGCTCTCCAGATTGAGCTCCATATAGGAATAATTATGGCTGCTATTTTAAGAAGTTGTTTAATAATGTTAAACCGATGACAGCCTGAGATTATAACACTGCCACCTCCACACTCCTGGGGGCTTTTTCTTTTCTCCCCCCCCCCCCCCCCCCCCCAATCAGCTCTGGTATATTTGCATTTTTCCAAGCCTGTGTTACCAATTATCATTCTCAAAAAGCTCTTGAGCAAGCTGGGAATTGTTTTGCACAAGGGGAGAAGACGAGAAATACAACAGCCATTAGCCCCTCTCACGGTATGTACCTAAGGGTCTGTATGAGCCTGTCCAGGAGCAAAATCCACATTTTCATTTGGCCCAGTAAAATATTTTGGGGCAAATCAGAGCTGATTCTGATGGGGCTGAGAGGTCACCCCACATGTACCACCATATGCACTGACCCACAGCATGCGTGGGGCTGCAGCCTGTGGAAAAACCCACTTCAGCAGTAAACCATGGTTTGGCTGTTTCAGTTTCCCTATTTATAAACCAGAAACTGTATTATTGATTGGCATGTTGGTACTCTGGGAACTTTGGATTAAACATGTTATCCTTAGTATGCATACAGGTCATTATTAATGTTTTTTTTTCTGGAGGTTTAATGTTTCATTTGCGCTGCATGGTGATTGGCATCGAGCTCCTCTTGGCAAGATGCTCCCTCCTGGTGCCAGCCTGTGTGTTACCACTGCAACAGAAATTGGAGCTGCTTACAGAAACTGCCATAAGAGGGATGTCAGGGCTGTCTTGGGGACCTGCAGCGCCAGAAAAATGAGAAGCCTGAAACAGAGACAAAAGGAAAAAATAAGCTAGAAAGAATGGGGCTTTCTACCACATTTTCCTATTTTTTCAGTGCTTCATCAGTAATAAGACCAAAAAAAAAAAAAAGGTGGGGTTAGATAGAGTTAGGTACAGCTGGCCTTTGTTTGAGAAGGAAGGTTAATGCCCTGAAGCTCCAGAAGACACGTGTGCGAGGGGGTTTCACACCACCAAACCCAGCCTGAGCTGCACCAAGGCTGGGCTCTGGCCAGTGCCTCCTCTGCAGGCATCAGTGGGTCATTAATGGGG